ACTGTATTCGTATTATCTATTAAATGTATGTCCGTATATCCATTTGCATTTTTTTTTTGTTTTCGTGACTGTAAAAAATATTTTTCCAAAAAAAAATACATATATGTATGTATTTAATGTGTATTAAACAATTAATATAATTTTTATAATTAATACAATTAATATAATTATTAAAAATAATATATTAATATAATATTATGCACTAAAGGCGAATTATGGTCACTCTACGCTAGCTGTACTATTTTCCTTGGGAAATAATGAGTACTTTATTGCCCTAGGTCAATAATGAGTATTTTATTGACCTGCAAGCGCACATTTATTGCTCTAGGGCAATAATGAGCATTTTTTGTCAATAAAGAGCTTAATTATAGCCCTAGGGTAATAATGGGCTCTTTATTGATCTTTAAACGCCAAATTATTGCCCTAGGGCAATAATGGACTCTTTATTGAACGATGGTTATAAATAAATTGTCAATATTGACAATAAAATGCTCAATTATTGACCTAGGGCAATAATGTGCACTTTATTGACCGCTGGTTGTAATCATAATATCCCTGAGTTGCATTATAATTATTAGTCATATTATAATAATTAAAATGTTAAAATTGAAATATTAAATTTATAATAAATAATAAGTAACTACTAATAAATATTTATTATTTATTATTTATCATAATTTTACAATATAAAATTATATAATTACGGTTAATACACATTAATATATTTTTACATACATGTAAATATATATTTATCCTGCATATTGTACATGATACATATAAATGTATGTACATAAAATAATTATTCTTCGGAATTTTTCCTCAAAAAAAAAAAAAAAAAAAATTGTTGAAAATAATTTTTCCCATTCAATTTTATTAAATTATTTTTACAGATATACATTTTGACGATAATTTTCATTATGAAGCAGATTATAAAATATTTTTTCAATTCGTTGTTTTCTGTATAAACGAAAAATAAAATTGAGTATGCATTTAAAAAAAAAAAAACCCCGAAAAAAAACTACGGGTGGGAAACTCATTATTGTTAATTCCCTCTTTAGAAAATTGATAAAGTGCGAGTGGCAATTTTAATTTTTTTTTTTTTTTTTTTTTTTTTAAATACTCGTGTGTTATAGGGAAAACGAGAAGAGTGTTATAGAATGGAAGGATGATAATTAATACGTTTCAAGAGAACATTTATTATCACAAAGTGAAATCTTCAGTATCTTCGTGAGAAAATAAATCACTTCAAAGAATTTGAAAAGAGTGAGTGTGAGTGTGTATGCTCGGGCTTAAATAGATATATAATAATTAATAAAACTTTGACGGAATAAAGTTCGCGTAAAATGAATACAAATTTTGCTGCTGAGTTTAATATTCCGTTAAGAATTATTAATAAACGATGTTTAGGAGAATTTATAAAAAAAACTGTCGTTTAAATTTGAACACAAAAAAAAAAAAAAATTTTCTCGCGAATTAAATATACTTTTTTTTTCTCTTTTTCAAATTAATTGAATAAATAAAAAAGAAAAAAGATTTAGGAAGTTTGTAATTTTTTCTCCCTTATTTTTTTTCTGATAATAATATTGCTTTCAGCTTTTGTCACAATAAATATATAACTTGATGAAAAGTATAAACGAGACCAGTCTCTAATTGTAATAAAAATTAAATTAACACATTTTCAAGATATTTAAAAAAAACATTTTTTTACAAATTAAAAAAAAATTTTTTTTTATTTTTTACTTTTTTTTTATTTTTAATGTTTTTTCTTTATTAAAAAATTTTTTTTTTTCATGAATATCAATTGACTATATTAAACATACAAATCATGTACTTAATATCCATTCTCGATATATGGGGAAATTAATTTTAGAAAATTATTCAAGAAGTTATTTTTTTGTTCGGAAACCGTTCGCAGTGAATTTACAAAAAGCAATTCAATCCGACTAATGGGAGGGGAAAACCATTTCAGATAATGTCAGTTTTGAATAATCGATCTCAAATTAAATCTCGAAAACTTAAAATATGAAAAATCATTTTTTTTTCGAAATAAAATTGATTTTAAGAGAAATATATTTTTTACACGTTTATTTGAAAAATAGCTATTTGAAATGAAGAAGATGTAGGAAAAAGAAGAAAACTCTAAAGAAAAAGAATAAAAAAAGAAAATAGTATAAAATAACAATAGTAAAAAAATAAAATAAAATAAAAAGAAAATAGTAAAAAAATAAAATAGTAAAAAAGAAAATAGTAGGAAAAGAAAATGGTAAAAAAGAAAATAGTAGGAAAAGAAAATAGTAAAAAAAGAAAATAGTAGGAAAAGAAAATAGTAAAAAAAGAAAATAGTAAAAAAAGAAAATAGTAGGAAAAGAAAATAGTAAAAAAAGAAAATAGTAAAATAGAAAATAGTAAAAAAGAAAATAGTAGGAAAAGAAAATAGTAAAAAAATAGTATAAAAAGAAAAGAGTAAAAAAAGACTAAAAAGAGAAAATAGTATAAAAAGAAAGTAGTAAAAAAATAGTAAAAAAACAATAATAAAAAAAAGATAATAATAATAAAAAAATAAAATAGAAACAAAATACACTGTTCCCCGCACCTCGACATATATTTCTACAAGTGTTTAAAAAATCGACAAGAAACCAAAAATACTTTACACACTTTTACCAACACATCATTGGGTCGACGAAAAAAATTAACGAAAAAGAAAAATTAAATTAACAGAAAAATTGTAAAATAAAAATTTTAAATATTGAATAATTTACCATTTTTCTATTTTCGAAAAATTTTCTAAATTCCAACTGTATAATAATAGAGGCCAATATTTTAATTAACGAAAGAAAATTGAAAAAAAACCTGAATAAGATTTATTTCCAATAAAATAAAAATTAAAAAATAATAAATATTTCGTTAATTTTATATATCACACTATTTAGTTAGATATTGACAAAATCTTTTTATATACTTATCGAAATCGAATTTTTTTTTTTTTGCTGAAAATCAATTTCTGCTTAGTTCAAGCAAAAAAAAACAGAATAATAAATATTTAATGTTTATTTAATTAATTATTAAAAATATTTTTTAATATTTAGTTAAATATATTAAAATTATATAAATATAGTAAAAATATATTTAGTATCTAATGACTAAAAATATATTTAATAATTACTAAAAATATTTTTTAATATTTAATTACTAAAAATATATTTAATAATTAATTAATATTATTAATTTAAAAAAATATATTAAATATTTAGTAATATTCAAAATTTGCCTTCAATTTCTGATTAAAAGAACAGAAAATTTTTTTTTAGATTAGAAACGAAAAAAACCAGAAATTGAAGAGTAGAACTCGCAATTATTGTTTTTGTCAAGCAAAAAAAAAAAAAAAATTTTTTTGATTAAAAAAAAAAAAAGAAAATGATTTAAACGAATAATAATATGGAAGAAGATGCAGTCGACCAGAACTCTCAACGAGCTGCGATCGAAACCGTGAGCCAAAATGCATGCTCGCCTCGTAAAATGTAGTCTTCCCTATATATATTTATACAGTAATTTTTCCCTTTGTTGCTTATATTCACGTATTTTTGTCGCTCAATGTTGCTTTTCGCATGAATTTTTCTCGTCAGCTTTTAGCATCATTTCTTTGCCCTCCTTTTTTTCTGTAGAGGAAGAAAAAATATGCTTCAAAAGTAGATTCGGCATAGAGGAAAAAAAAATTGCTCGAAATCTTTCTCAAAGTCAATTATACAAGCTTTATACTATATATATAGATTTTAATGAAACATTTTTATTCTATATTTAGAAAAAAAAATATTGTCTTGAAATAATTTTTAATAATATGGAAATTTGATTACTTTCAAGTTTCAAGTAATTTTAAATAGATTTATTAAGTAATTTTCCAATTATTTTCAATTTAATTTTTAAATTATTGAAAATAAGTTTAAATATTTTTTTTTGTAAGTACCTAAGACAATATTTTTTTTTTTGCTACAAGTTATAATTTTTCTAGACTGTAAGATAAATTTTTGGAGATAATAAAAATATTTGAATATTCTCTTTTTGAAAAGTGTACATTTTTTTACAGTTTGTACAATTTTTTGAAATTACACGAAATATTTTGTATTTTTTGTTTAACATATTTTGTCTTTTATATTTTTTCTATTTTACTTTTTTTTATAATAAATTTTCTCTTTTGTAAAATATTTTGTCTTATATAATATATTTTATCCTTTATAATATATTAATTATATTTCTTAATATAACAATTTTTGAAATACATATCCTCAATTTTTATACTAAATTAATTGTTTAAACAAAAATTAATTATTTTATATGAGATATTAATTATACACCCAGAGAAAAATTTATTTAAACAAATAAAAATTTATCTTAACCAAATAAAATTTTACTTGAACCTAATAAATTTTATTTGAACCGAATAAAATTTTTTTTTTTTGCCAAATAGAATTTATTTGAACCAAATAAAATGTTTAGTTGGCTCTGAGACAAATATACACATTTTTTCTGGGCGTAGAAAAAAATTTTTTAAAAAGAAAAATGCAAAAAGAAAATAAAAAACTGTTATTTAATTAAAAAAAAAAAATTCGTCCTTTTAGTTTTTAAAAATAACTCTTTATCGAAATAAAATTAAATTCAAAATTTTTATTTTGAAAAGAAAGAAATTTTTATAAAAAAAAAAAAAGAAAATTGAATGAAAAAGCTTATCTTGAGCATTAAATTGGCATAAGTATTATGTATTTTTTTTTCATTCAAGAAAAAATATTGATTGAAAATAAAACCATTTTCCAAAATAAACACATTTTTTGTTTTTCTTAATCTCTCTCTATATTTATATAAAAAAGAGCTGCAATAGATTATATATACTTTTAAAAACATAAATAGAAGAGATAGTCTAGAAAGATTAAATATTATCTTAGTAAGCCCGAAGCATTTTAGTTCATCAATTTCTGAATGTCAATAATTAAATAATCAAATTTTTATAGGAATACTCTGTTCAACTAACATTTCGAGAACAATGGATAGACGAAAGACTTAAATTCGATGATTTTGGGGGTAAATATTAATTTCTATTTTTTAAACAATTTCTATTTTAAAAAAAAAATTTTTTTAGATTTTTTACGAACAAATTAAGTTTGAAAAAACTTCGAAAAGAAACAAGAAATTTGTTGATTCAAAAATTATTTACGATTTAAAATTAATTAATTTTAAATCGTAAATAATTTTTGAATCAACAAATTTCTTGTTTCTTTTAGATTTTTTTCGAACTTAATTAATTTTAAATTAATTTGTAAATAATAATATTTAATTCAAATAATAAATTTGTCTTTTAATTTTTTATTTAGAATAAAAATAATTATTAAGAATAATAAATTCAAATGATCTATTAATTTGTCTTCTAATTATTTATTTAGAAGAAGAATAATAAAAAAATAATATTAAATTTCAATAATCAATTTTTATTAATTTATTTGTCTTTGAAATTATTTATTTATTTACAATAAGTAAATATTTAGTTTCTTTTTATTTAGAGGCCTATTTATTTCTCTAAAATATAAAAAGAGAAAAAAATATTTTGAATTAATTATTTTAATTTTCGATCATAGGGAAACTGAAATATTTAACCCTGACGGAGGCAAACAAAATTTGGATGCCCGATTTATTTTTTTCCAACGAAAAGGAAGGCCATTTTCACAATATCATTATGCCCAACGTATACATAAGAATCTTCCCGGAAGGATCTGTTCTGTACAGTATAAGGTATTTCTTTTTTCAATTTTAATCGTAAAAAAAATTTTGTTTCCTTTTAATTAAGCGAATTTAATCATTGTTTAAATAATACTTTAAATAAATTAATGTCTATTAATAAATAATAAATTAATATTTAGTAATAAATAATGAATAAATGTTTGGTAATAAATAATAAATCAATATTTAGTAATAAATAATAATTAAATGTTTAGTAATAAATAATATATCAATATTTAGTAATAAATAATAAATAAATATTTAGTAATAAATAATGAATAAATGTTTAGTAATAAATAATAAATAAATGAATGTCTATTAATGAATTAATAAATAAATAAATGCCTATTAACGAAAAATAAATAATTTTCCAGTAATAAATAATAAAGTATATAAATGTTCCATTAATAAATAATAATTAATTGACATTATGATTTATTAAAAAAAATGAATAATTTTCTTTTCTAGAATTTCACTCACATTATCATGTCCAATGAATTTGAAATTATATCCACTCGACAGACAAGTCTGCTCACTTCGAATGGCAAGTTGTGAGTATTAAAATTATAAATTTAAATTATATTTTAAAATTACGTAATATTTTTTTTTTCATAATTTTTTGTATTTTTCATTTGCTTTGAAAGAAAAAAAATTAATAATATAATTTTCCAACACAGATGGATGGACGACTGACGATTTAGTATTTCAATGGAAAGAAGGCGATCCTGTTCAGGTCGTAAAAAATTTACACCTACCTAGATTTACACTGGAGAAATTTCTTACAGACTATTGTAACAGTAAAACAAATACTGGTAAGATGGAAATTTAGTTCAAATCATTTTTCTAACTGTCTGTTTCTCTCTCTAGTGGAGAAAAAAAATTTTTTAAATAAATTTTCTTTATTCAATTTTAAGTGAATTGGCAATGAAATTTAAAATTAAATTCATAATGAAATGTAAAATTAAATTCATAATGAAATGTAAAATTAAATTCATAATGTAATTTAAAATTAAATTCACAATGAAATTTAAAACTAAATTTACAATTAAATTTACAATGAAATTTAAAACTAAATTTACAATGAAATTTAAAACTAAATTTACAATTAAATTTACAATGAAATTTAAAACTAAATTTACAATTAAATTTACAATGAAATTTAGAATTAAATTCGAAATTAAATTTACAATGAAATATAAAATTAAATTTTATAATGAAATTTATAATTACATGTACAATGAAATGTATAATTAAATTTACAAGTAAATTAAAAATTAAATGTACAATGAAATTAAATTTTAATGTATAATGAAATTAAAAATATTTAGTATACAATAATTAAATGTACGATTAAATTTACAGGTAAATTAAAAATTAAATTTTACAATGAAATTAAAAATATTTAGTGTACAATTAAACTTCAAATTAAATTTACGAACTATTTCTTCTCTTATTAATTAAAAATTAATAATAACAAAAAAAAAAAAATAATTCGTTTGAAAACTTTGAAGAAATAAAAATAGAGAAAATAGAAAATTTAAGGAAAATTCTAATTCTGAAAAAAATTCTTTCAGGCGAATACAGTTGTTTGAAAGTTGATTTATACTTTAAGAGAGAGTTCAGTTACTATCTTATACAAATTTACATCCCATGCTGTATGTTAGTCATTGTCTCATGGGTCTCGTTTTGGCTCGATCAAAGTGCTGTTCCAGCTCGAGTTTCACTTGGTATGGAAATTTCAATTATTCAGAAATGTACAATTTTTTTTTTGTCAAATGAAACAAAAAAAAAATTGTTGTTATGTACATACAAACAATTTTTTTTTCATAGAAATTTTTATCAAAAAATCATAAATATTTTATTGGTAATATTTCAAAATTAATTTAATATTAAAAAAGTTACGTTTAGAATTTTCATAAGTAGATGATTTAGTTAAAAACACTAAAACAAATTGAATTTTAAAGCAATTAAAAATTTTTGCAGAAAGTCAATTATTTTCAAAAGTGATAAAATTTTTCTCCAGAAATTCAATTAGTTTCAAGAACTTTCCTCATTTTAATGATTTTTAATATATCTACTACTTCAATAAAAATTCCCAAAAGAATTCAATTACTTAAAAGAAATTTTAATAAAATTCGTCTCAAGAATTCAATTATTTTCAAAAATTTCCCTCAATTCAATGATTCTCAGTAAATCTACTAATTTAATAAATTTTTCAAAAGAATTAAACTATTTAAATACAAATTTTGATAAAATTCTAAGCAAACATTAAATTATTTCCATAAACAATAAAAATTTCACAGGAATTCAACTAGTTGCAAATTTTTTATATAAATTTCTTCGCAATAATTCAATTATTTTTATAAATAATAAATTTTTTTACAGAGATTAGTTTTAATTTAATTTTAATTTAATTATTAAAAATAATGGATTTATATAGAAGAATTTTAGTCAAAAACACTAAAAAAAAATTGAATTTTGGAAAAGATACAAATGATTGCAGAAATTCAATTAGTTTTAAAACTAATAAAACTCTTTGCAGAAATTAAATTATTTAAATTTTTAATTATTATTTTTATAAATAATAAAATTCTTCTCTGAAATTAAATTATTATCAAAAATTTTAATAAAATTCTTGGTAAAATTTTAATTATTTTCAAAAATTTTCCTCAATTCAATTATGATTTTTATATATATGTACTGCTTTAATAAAATTTTCCAAAAGAATTCAATTATTTAAAAAATATTTTATAAAATTCTACACAAACTTTTAATTATTTTCATAAAATAATAAAAAATTTCACAGGAATTCAATTATTTACAAATTTTGTATAAATTTCTTCGCAATAATTCAATTATTTTCATAAATAATCAAATTTTTCTCCGAAATTAAATTATATTTAAAAGTGTTAATAAAACTTTTGGCAAAATTTCAATTATTTTTAATACTATTTTCATTAAATTTCTCGAAAAATGAAATTATTGTATAAAAATTTTATGAAAATTTATCAAGAGAATTCAATTATTTAAAAATTTGTTGATTAAATTCTTGATGAAAAATGCAGAAATTTTTTTTTTTCAAAAAGTTTAATGGAATTTTTTTTAATTATTTCAATTTTTTAATTTCTAATACATTTCAATGAAGAATGTCAGAATAATCGAAATTTCTTAAAATTAAATTGTAAAAAAAGGATTTGAAAATTCTCAAAGAACTTTTTAAAAAATTATTTTAAAAAATTGAATTAAAGATGAATTTTAGTTAAAAATTCTAGAAATGAATAAATGAATAAATAAATAAATGAATAAATTTTGTCAAAATTCAATTATTTTCAATGTCTACTATTTCAATAAAATTTCACAAAAGAATTCAATAATTATTTGAAAAGAAATTTTAGTAAAATTCTTCTCATATTTTCAAAAGTAATATAATTCTTCGCAGAAATTCAATTATGTTAAAAAATTTACAAAAATTCTTGTTAAAATTTCAATTATCTATATTTAAATAATAAAATTTTTCTCTGAAATTCAATTATTTTCAAAAATTTTAATAAAACTCTTGGCAAAATTTCAATTATTTTTAATATAATTTTCAAAAGGTTTTTAAATTAAAATTTTTGATAATTTCAATTCTCCATACTTTTAATAAAGAATTTTGCAGAATTAATTTTTTTCAAAAAGTTTAATGCAATTTTTTTTTTATTTCAAGTTTTTAATTTCTAATATATATTTATTGGAAGAATTTTAGAATAATCGAAATTTCGTAAAATTAAATTTGTAAAAAAATGGATTTGCAAATTCTCAATGATCTTTTTCGAAAACTATTAAAAAAATTGACTTAAAGAAGAATTTTAATGTAAATATCTAAAAGTGATTTGAATTTAAAATTTTTGAAAATCTTAATTTCCATTAAAAAATAATAATGATTAAATATTAATTTAAAAATAATAAAGTTCTTTAGAGTCAGGGAAAAATTCAAAAAGTTTGCCAGGAAATTAGGGGAAAATTTAATTAAGTAAAATATGAATGAATTTTAAAAACCTGGAAAAATTTCGTTTTTTAACCTGGAAAAGTCGGGGAATTTGAAAAGAGCAAAAGCGTGACAACCCTGAATTTATTTATTTGCCTTTTCTTAAAAACCGTCTTTCAATTATTATTATTTTTTACTTGCTTTTTTTAAAAAATCGTCTTTTAATTATTATTTTTATTCATCTTCTCCTGAAAAGCGTTTTTTTTAATTGATTAATAATAATAATCAATTAAAAAAAAAAACATTTTTCAGGAGATTCTTTAAATAATTATTTACAATTTGGAATTTTTTTTTTTTGATTTCGTCTCTAATTGATTTTCAAAGAATCTAATTTTACAAGTAATTTAATTTAATATTTGTAATTGAAATTTAATTGTCCATATATAGGAGTAACAACTCTACTGACAATGGCAACACAAACTTCTGGAATAAATGCTTCACTTCCGCCAGTCTCCTACACAAAGGCAATTGATATTTGGACAGGTGTATGTTTAACCTTTGTGTTCGGAGCACTATTAGAATTTGCATTAGTAAATTATGCGTCTCGCAGTGATATACATCGTGAGAATATGAAAAGACAGTATCGAGAAATGGAACATTCAGCATCGGTTGATCCAACCACCGAACTATTAGAAGCTGATGGACATAATACTTTTGCTATGGTCAGCCTTGATCTTGTAAATTTTTCTCTAAGTATACCTAATAATCATTTTTTAAACCTAACAGTTAAAGTTCTTAAACTTTAACAATTAGAAAGTATATTTTAATCTTTTTTTTTCGTACCATAGAAAATAACTTTTGTTGGTGGGAAAAATAAACTTTTGCGCTAGAAAATTCTCGAGAAAATATTTCGAGAAGGAATAATAAACTATTATGAGCTATTATAAATAAATAGTGGAAGAATTTAGTAGAAAAGTGGTAAAATATTTATTGTAGACGTTAGTGAAGTAGTTATGGCGAATAAATAAGGAAAATTGGTAGGCGAACCTCGCCTAGTGTCGAGTCTCCGGATTCTATCCCCTCTTTAAGTTCGACTACTGACGAGGTAAGCCACGCCTCCGGTCGAGTAATGTCAGGGCTGCACCTACATTACCAGAGCCGCAGGTGATTTTTTTCGATTTGAATTAAAAAAGTACTTCTGGTTCACTTTTTGATGATAGCGCAAAGGTTTATTTTTTCCGTCACAAAAAAAATAATTCATGTTGCACGACAAAAGAAATCGAAACGGATTTGAATCAAAAGGGTGGGTTCCTTTCAGAAGCCTCTCGTTCAACATCAGGCAGACGCATTGCCTATGGATAAACGACGGCAGTGCGAGATTCATATTCAGGAGCCGCAAAAAAACTGCTGCAGGTCGTGGCTGTCCAAGTTCCCGACAAGATCCAAACGAATCGACGTCATAGCACGAATCCTCTTTCCACTGGTGTTCGCATTCTTCAATCTCGCATATTGGTCAACGTACCTGTTTCGCGACGAAGCGGAGAGCGATTAAACATTGATGAGGAATCGCTTGGATCAAGAAATGTGGCTCGCGGCCACCTCAATCACTCCCATTCAACAATGCATCGCTCAAATTCCCATCAACGTAATTATCAACAACGCACAGCAACAACAAATCATGATAATGATGATTTCGATCGACACTATCATTATCATCATCATCATCATCATAATCATAATCAACATCAACATCGACATCATCATCATCATTCAAGGCAACATCGTTCACATCAATCTTTATTGCATTATCGACGTGATGCACGTTCACAATCGCCATCATCGCCCTCAGGAAGTTTACGTGGACGTTCACCAAGACGTACAACTTCAAGAATACGTTCAAGTAGTTTAACATCGCGAAGATCAACGCCATCGCCAACGCCCACTGCCTCACCGGCCCAAACAACATCGCCCTCACCACCAACACTTCTCAAAGGCGAGGAATTAAATCGTTTTCAACATTTGCCAATTGACAACAAAAAGGATCGATGTTTCTGGGGTCTATTACCACGTGGAAAGATGTTTCGCTGTCATGCCGATGGCAGTGCACGAATCGATGTTTGCGCAAGAATTTTCTTTCCCCTGGTATTCTTCATCTTTAATCTTGGCTATTGGTCATGTTATCTCTTCCCCCACGAGGATCATACGAATATGCATAAATAATTACGTAATCAAGAGCGAGCATTTGCAAAAGGAGAATCTGTACTTGTGTGTTTTTTGTCCGAATGTTAAAAAAAAAACAGGGTAATAGTTTCCGTCGTTATTTTCCCCGCCGAAGGGGATGGGAGGGAAATGGGTTTCTTTTAGGGAACAAAAACTATTCAGCTCAAGAAAAGTGCAATTCACAATCGTCCAAAGCAAAAAAACAACCGATTCGCATTTGCCATCAGATCGGGGGTCTTTCCTCCAGGCGGCGAATACGATTTTTCCTTTGGACAGAATGTATTTCAATTATCGCCATTCATTCTAGAATCAGTTATAGATGCTAGAATCTGTTACAGATTGTAGCATCTATTCCTTTCTTTCCTATAATTGATTTTAAGACGAAATTTTTTAATGACAATAATTCTTTTTTAGGTTTCTTTTCGCCTAAGCGATTCCCCTATTCTCCCAAACTTTTTCTTTCTCTAGATCCAAATTTTCTTCCACTATCATTTAAATCAATCATCGCAATAAGCGTAAATCAAAAAAAAAAGGGGAAAAAATATAAACTATAAAAAAAAGAAAAAGAAAATAACGACGGTACAAGCGGGGCGTGAATGTTTATCATTAAATGTACCTTTTAAAAAGTAAAAAACACGATCATCGGGAGACCGCGTGCCACTAAGTGAAATTAAATTTTCGGGCCCTGTATAGCCACGGCCTGTTATAAAAAAAAAAAAATAAATAAATAAATTGAAGAGAACAAAAAAATCGTACACATAAAAATAATATATCTACGTATTGTCAAGTAACTCGTTATAATGTTATATAAAATATAAAAAAAAACAAAAAAATTCTCCGGTCCTTCGAGAAATTAAATTTTTTGCTCACCCAGTGAAAAAAAAAAAAAAACTTCGAGTCCCTCTTTTCACCCATAATCTGTTAGAAAATTTTCCAAAAATTTCTCTAATGAACATATTTCAAAATTCTTTTTTAAAAAAAAATTTTTTTTTTCCAAAAAAAAACTTTTTTATAAAGCTCAATAATATCATACGCAAATCTCGGTGGACCGGAGAAAATCATGAACACACGCGATTCGAAAATCGATTTTCGCAAAGGGAAAAAAAAATAATAAATAAATAATATAAAGAAACGAATTAAGTCGAGTGGTGAAATTAGGGACTCTCGCTGAAATATTAAATAAGATGAAGAAAAAAAAAAAGTATGTAGTTGAAGTGTATATATCATAATTATTACGTTCCATGTCTCAAAAAAAAAGAAGAGAAAGCAAAAATCTTTTAATTCTCTATTTTTTAATTTTCTTCAAAATTTTTAAAAAGAAAAACTGCGAAAAGTTTTTTAAGGAAATGTATTTAGAAATCGTTTTTGTCCCATCATTACGCACAGGTGAAAGAATAAATTCTATACTCTATTCTTGTTTTTAAAGCTCAATTTTAAAATCTATACATTTTGTTATATTTATTATGTAGTCTATAATATAAAAAAAAATATTTGTTATTTTTCTTAAATTGTTATTAAATTTAAATTAAGTTAGTCGCACAGGTGAGGAGCGTCTCTCTAGTGAACGCACAAGCAAAGTGGGGAGCCGCTTCTCTTATTTCTTTTTTTAACTCGAACAAATTTCAATATTGATATTAATTAATAATAAAATTTAATTATTGTTAATTAATACAATTTATTAATTATTAAAATTCAATTTATTAATTATTAAAATTAATTTACTAATTATTAAAAATTCTCATATTTTGACCAAAAACCAGTTATTGTGAAATTAAACGAAAAAATTTGTTTCGATATTAATATAAACGAAATGTAAACAGGTAGAAGTTCCAGGTTAAAATTTTCTTTTTTCTAAAAAAGATGGGATTTTTTTTTTTTTTTTTTTTTTTTTTTTAATTTTAATGAAAATATAAAGTAAACGCAGAGGAAAAAAAGATGGGATATGTTTTGAAATTCCTGCCTGGAACATTCACTGTAGATTTTAAAGATTTACAAACACTGTACATAATTAAACACAAATCAAGTTTTACAAGTATTATTATTAAATATGTGCGAGAATTGCAAAGGGGCTCAAAAATTATTTTCGCATTTTAATATGACAATCAACTTATTACGAGGCTGTTTTATTATTATCACAGAAAAAAATATCACAAAAAAAAAAAATTCTAAAAAAAAAATTCAGTAAAAATGAAGTAAAATTTTATTATTTGAAAAAATTTAATAAACGTTCGATAAAATTTTTATCTTTTGGAAAAATTTGATAAAACTCAGTTGAAAAGTTTATCTGTTCAAAACATTTAATAAACGTTAGCTAATTTTTTTTTTTTTTTTTTTTTTTTTATTAAATACAGCATTGCTCAAAATAATTCCCTTTTTCTGTTTTTTTTAAACTTCCAAAAAAAGCTAATAATAAAAAAGCTAATCTCATTGAAAGTATAATAATTATTACAAATTTTTACGAAACAAAAAAAGTCAAAAAAAAAAAAAAAAAAAAATAAGTTGACAGTCTATTTACAAAAAATGAACAGTTATCGAAATTATTTTGAGTTCCTATTGCAAATAAAGAAAAGCACGCATGTTCACGATATAAATTATACACGATCATACGAGATATTATTATAAATATAATGTAAAACATATGCCGTGCTCATTTAGCATGGGCACAATAACCAATATGAATTTTTGTACTGTTTGTTGATTATAATTATTCACGATGAGAAGACGACAAAAAAAAAATGAAGAAAAAAAAAAGAAAAAAAAAATATTCGAAACAAAAGGCGCTTCGTTTATCGACAGTATTAAATATATTTATAAATATGTTTTTTCCATTAAATTTTATCGAGAGAAAAAAATATAATATATAAACTGTTTTCGTTCCCTTAAATGAATTTGTTTCATTAGTGCCAAAAAATATTGAACCAGAGGACTTCCTCCAAACCATGGGATATTTGAGTGAATGAAAACACTTTATCGAAATTCTTTATTATATTAAATAAAAGAGAAAAAACATTATATAACACTCTTACAAATTGCTTTCTTTGTCTCGAATTCTATTCTATTTCGGAACGAATAAAAAAAAAAAAAAAATTCGAACATAAAACTTTGAGTCACTTGAAACATTTTTGCGTTTTTAATCTTAAATTCAAATTAAAAATATGAAGGAAAATAATTGTTTTTTGTTCATTACCAACACTGTTGACGGTGGAAAATATTCTTCTCTGGAAAAAATTTACAATTTAACTTTTTTCAAATATTAATTATTAAAAATATTTTTAATTGTTTACATATGTTATCAATCTTTCTATCAATGAAATTAATTAAATTTGATAATTAATAATTAATAAACCATAATTTTTTTTTTTTTTTTTTTTTTTTTTTTTTAATTGTCAAACCAAAGTAAGTCATTAACAATTAATATTTTAAAATTAGAAAAATTTACAGCAGTGTTGGAATGAAATTAAAAGCAGAGAGAAAAATATGAAACAAATTATAATTGGAGATGAAGAAAATTTCAAGAAATTAATATCACAGGGTTTATCGTAGATAGTAAGACCATTTTCTATTTAGTAATATTTGCACGCTAGCACTTTTCAATATTATTCGCAATTACATATTTCAATTTCACTCCGCTTTTTTGTAGTAAAAAAAATCCCCCTCCCTTTTTTTTAATTTACTTTTGCAAATAAAAAAAAATTTTTTTTTCGATTTCAGAAAAAATTTTCTATTGGTTACAAAAAAAGAAAAAATTCGTTAATAATAACAAAGTTACTCAAGGAGTGAAATTGAAGACAAAAAATTCGACAATGTCCAAAGAAAGTAACGTGTAAAAAGTAAAAAAAAAAAAAAGTTTTGCGTATAACGAAGCGAAGTCTAATTTTTTTTTTTTTTTTTTTTTTAAATAAAAAATCCTATTTTTCTTTTCACAATTTTCCCCTTTTTTTTAAATTAGTGCGTGACACATAACGAAAAAAGTACTATAAAAACAAAAAAAAAACCATTATAGAAGAGTGTTTAAGAAAAAAAAACCCAAAAAAAAAAAAATTGCACTTTGTGTAAAACTAGATAAACAGGGCGAGAAAAGAAAAAAAAAACTTTAAAAAAATGGATTTGACGATAAAACAAGTATTAATATACATATGTAAGTTTGTGTGACACCAAAGTTTTTATTTCCAAAAAAAAGCCCACAATGAATGAATTTAAAAAAAAAAACCCGTGCACAGAAAGTTATGTCGTAATCACGTATGAATATTGAATGTTGGAATACAATATATTATACGTAAAAAATATAAATAAATAAAAAGAAAAAGAAAACATTACAATGGCGTGCAACAAAAATCAACTCTGTTTTAAAAAAAAATATCTAATATACAACTAGAAAAAAAAATTAACATTAATCAAAGATGAAGAAAAAAAAATAATGTTTTGTTCCTTTTTTTCTTTTGATTTTCTATTAATAATAATATTAATAATTAATAATAATAATAGAGATGATTTTTGAAGTGACTGGGAATCAGTAAAAAAAATTCTCTTTAACGCGGGACGTAGAAAGTAAAAAGATCGCATAATAAATGTCACGAAATATGACTCGACGGACAATTAAACTTTGAATACAAAAAAAAAAAAAAAAATTGGTATTTTTATTTCAAAACCCTGACAATTTTTTTTTTTATTTAATTTTTCTATTTTTTCCTTTTATTTTTAAAAAAAGAAGCATTTTAATTTTTTGTAAGACTTTTTTTTAATTTTTTTTTTGTTATTATGTAAATAAATAAATAAAATGGAAAATAAAGCAAAATAAAAAAAAGTTATTTTTGGCAACCAATTTTTATTTTTAATGTATTTTTAAAATTATTTTAAAACGAAAAAAATTATTTTAATACAAATAAAAATTTTCTAGTAAAATTTTTTTTAAAGGCAAAAAGGGATATAACAGGGAAAAAATGAAATAAATAAAAAAGATAGATAAGATGATGTTTTTATTCATGTTTTAACATTATACATCAATTCTTTCATTTCCATACGAGTGAAGAAATGAAAATGAAAAATTATTTACGACGCTCTACATATATAGTGCTTAGATAAAATTTTTATTTCCTATATAGTTAAGCGGATTAATTATGAATTTTTTTTTTTTTTATTGTAAAAAACTGATATTTTTCATCATAATTCTCAGTCAATTACTTACATTTAAAAATTATTATCTAAAGTATAATTAAAAATTTAGTTCTTTTTTTGCACGTAATATAAAAATTAAAAGCGTAACTGTTTATTGAAACAATCAGTTCATTTCTTATTATAATTTATATAATTTATAGTAAAATCACACTTTTGAATACTTTTTTCTTCATTTTTTTTTTTACTAAATAAATATTGAGCCAAATTATAATAAAATGACATTATAAATTATAATTATAAATATTAATAATGCGAAATAGATAATACTTATGATTTCACAAATAAATAGCAACATTATAAAATTTTTTATTATAAAACATAATTTAAACGTTCTTATAACTATAATACTAATTATCAATAAAAAAAATAATAAATTTCATAAAATCAAAGTAAAGAAAATTTTAAGTGAAAATAATTAGTAAATAAATGTAAATAAATGTAAATAAATGTAAATAAATGTAAAATAAATGTAAATAAATGTAAATAAATAAATAAATAAATAATTAGTAAGTAAACTATTAGTAATAAAATAGTTAATAAATAAATAATTAGCAAGTAAACAATTAGTAAATAAATAATTAGTAAGTAAACTATTAGTCAATAAATAGTTAATAAATAAATAATTACCAAGTAAACAATTAGTAAATAAATAATTAAGTAATTATTTGTGAATAAATAATAAGTAAATAAATATTAAGTAAACAATTAGTAATAATACCAAACAAAGTATAATAATTTTATAACAATGATAGTATATTTATTTGGCTTTTGTTTATTATTATTATTTTTACTATTCTTTCTTTTATTCATAAACTTTGTTTATGTTTTTAAACAAGAACATAAAAAATTGTGCCTTGCTTCATTAAACAGCGGGAATTTATTCAACATAAATAAATTATTAAAATTTTATAAAAAATTTCTATGAATCAACTAATTTGATTTGAAAATTAAATATTTTTACCAAAATCAATTTTTTTGATTTATAGATAAAAATTCTTTAAATTAAATATTATTTGAATAATATAAAAATTATTTAAATAACCAAATAATTATTTTTACAATTATTCAATTACTTAATTATTTAATTATTCAATTTAATTTAATTATTATAAATATTAATTTCAATTCTTTGTGTAAGATAAATTTTTCTCGTTCACTCTTTATTTACCAAAAAAATCGAAAAATTATTTTCCTTTTCAAAACGAAATAATAGAATTTATTTAAATTAGAAAAAAAAGTATTTTCTGGAATAAAAGAAAATAATATTTTCAATGCGATTAATTTTTGAATTTAAATTGTTGGTACATAATTTGATGGTGTACCGTTTCTTGATAATGTATCTAACGAATGTTGATTACCAGAATTTTTTCGTGTACCATATTTATGTGGTTGAAGATTTAAAGGTGGTAGGTTTGGATGTTCAATTCTTGTTGGAGAACTGACGCGTGGACGAAGTGTGCCTCTTTGCATTGGATACAATTCTACAATTTTAAAAGAATTTTTATATAAATATTAAAAATCAACTTTAATCGAAAAAATAATTTCTTAATTTCTTTTTTCATAGCTAATATTCTTACGCTTTCATTTCTAGAATTTAGATAAAAAAAATTTTCTTGATACGAACAAAAATTATTTCGATACGAAAAAAATTATTTTAAAACAAATAAAAATTATTTTGATACGAAATAAATTATTTTAATACAAATAAAAATTATTTTTGTACAAATAAATATTTATTTTTATGCAAACAAAAATTATTTAATTGTACAAATAAATATTTATTTTTGTACAATTAAATATTTATTTTTATACAAATAAATATTTATTACATGTAAATAAATATTTATTTCTTATAAAGAAATATAATTATAAAATCAAATATAAATATAAAAATAATTATTTATTTTACATTGATAAAAAAACGAAATAAATAAATTTTAATAATAGTAAATTATTAATTGAATCAAATTATTATTTCGTTGTCATTGTAATTTTTTACCGTTCCCACAATAAAAAATATTACCAGCATCATTTGGTTCCAAAACATCGTCCAATTGATAATATTCATTTTTAACAGATAAAGGTTCCTCATAATCAACAAAAGCAGTATTGTCAAATGCTTTATCGTCCTTTGGTCGATTTTGCGACGGCGATGCTACTGGCGGTTCAACATATGTCTAATAGAAAAAATAATTTTTCATTAATAATAATTCCAAGTTTGGTGCATATTTTTAAATTGAAAAATTAAAAAAAAAATATTATTGCATTATAAATAAATAATCTAGTAAGTCAGTAAAAAAATAACAATTAAAATGTACACTAAAAAAAATTTTTGATTCAAATAACCGATTACTTGACTATTATCAATATTAAATATTTACTTGAATCGAATAATTTTTAATTCGAATCAATTAAATTGTATTTGAACCAATAATTTCAGTATTTGAAGCAAATATGAATTGAACTGTTTAATTAATTTAATTATTGTAATTATAATAATTTAGTTGATCAAATAAAAATTATTAGATTCAAGTAAATATTTAATTGATCGAATAAAAATTATTTGATTCAAGTAAATATTTAGTTGATCGAATAAAAATTATTTGATTCAAGTAAATATTGAATTGAGCAAGTAAAAATTATTTGATTCAAGTAAATATTTAGTTGAACAAATAAAAATTCTTTGATTCAAGTAAATATTTAATTGATCGAATAAAAATTATTTGATTCAAGTAAATATTGAATTGAGCAAGTAAAAATTATTTGATTCAAGTAAATATTTAGTTGAACAAATAAAAATTCTTTGATTCAAGTAAATATTTAATTGATCGAATAAAAATTATTTGATTCAAGTAAATATTGAATTGAGCAAGTAAAAATTATTTGATTCAAGTAAATATTTAGTTGAACAAATAAAATTCTTTGATTCAAGTAAATATTTAATTGATCGAATAAAAATTATTTGATTCAAGTAAATATTGAATTGAGCAAGTAAAAATTATTTGATTCAAGTAAATATTTAGTTGATCAAATAAAAATTCTTTGATTCAAGTAAATATTTAATTGATAGTAAAATAATTGATTATTTAAATCAAATAATTTTTTTTCAGTGTCGACTACTGTCAAAGAAAAAAAAATTGTTATGTAAAAAATTGCCTTGAGTTTTACATGTTCAGGGGGAAGTGTTGAAAATGAACGTTTATTATAGTAAGCTCCATTGGTGTTTGTCTCATTGATGCGTTTATTATTGTAAAACGATGAGCCATTTCCAATTGTTTCATAGGTGTGCTCTTCTAAAAAGTGTCGCGTTGTACCGCGTGGAGTTAATGTCGCCCACATAACACGACTGTCCTGCATTGTCTCCGTGGTGCATGGATACAAAACAGCTTCATTCTGAAGTCTTCCTGCTTTCGTTTGCATTCCAGAGGTTGCAGTTGGTACCGATATTACCCCACTTTTACCAGTAGCATTACTACATTCAAAGAAATTCAGTTTTATTATTTTTTTACCAACATATTTTGTAAACCTACATATTTACTTCAAATTTGTAATTAAAGTACTTTGTAATTTTAAATAATTATTTTTTTATTTATTATTTTTTTCTTATTTAAAAAAAAATTTTTTTTTAATTTTAATAAAATTTTATGTAAACATTTAATTATTTTCATAAATACCTAATAAAAATTTTACAGGAATTCAATTATTTGCAAATTTTTTTTATTAATTTCTTCGTAATAATTCAATTAATTTCTTCGCAATAATTCAATTATTTTCATAAATAATAAAATTTTTCCAAGGAATTGAATTATTTTCATCAAAAAATAATTATTGAAAATTCTATAAAATAATAATTCAAAATTAATTCAATTTTAAGAGTTGCGTTTAAAATTTTCAAAAATAGATGAACTTGAAAAGCTTTTAATATGAAATTTTAGAAAATTAAAATTTTCAATTAATTTAATTAGAAATTTAAAAAAAAACTTATATTTTTACAAAATGTTAATAATTCGAATTCTTCTTGAAATTAAGGTTAAATTTGTCAATATATAATTAATTAATTTTATTAAAAATAATGGAAGTATAAAAAATTTTAGTTAAAAACATTTTTAAAAAATTGAATTTTTGAGAAGTTACAAAATAATAGCAGAAATTCAATTATTTTCAAAATTAATAAAATTCTTCTTAAAAAAGTTCAATTATTTTCGAAATTTAAAGAAAAATTCTCGTCAAAATTACAATTATCTTTATAAATAACAAAATTCTTTTCCAAAATTTAATTATTTTCAAAAAATTTTCTAATTTCAATGATTTTTAATATCTACTGTTTTAATAAATTTCCCAAAAGAATTCAATTATTTTGAAAAAAAATTTGATAAAATTGTACTCAAACATTTAGTTATTTTTATAGATAATAAAAATTGCACATTAATTCAATTATTAAAAAATTTGGTATAAATTTCTTTGCAATAATTCAATTAATTTCATAAATAATAAATTTTTTCTATGAATTCAATTATATTTGTAAATATTAAAATTTAAAACTCATCGCAGAATTTTAATTATTTTTAGTACAATTTTAATCGAATTCCTCGAAAAAAGTAATTATTCATATAAAAATTTGATTAATTTATAATTTATAATGTAAAATAATGATTTTATCACTCGATGATCTTTAATTATTATAAAACATAAAGACATCGATTGCTCCGAGTCGAAGATAATTTACAAAAAAAAAATATTTCTGCTATTTAAAATTTAAGTCAAAAACTAATTGAAAAATGTGAAAACAGTCGATTAGTCGTATTTGACTTAAAAAAATCAGGAAAAAGTTGATTAGTCGCATTTTTTTTCTTTTTAATTTACAAAAAAAATATGATTTACTTAATTACAAAATTACTAAATTTCAAAAAGGAAGAAATTAAAAAAACAAAAAAGAAAATAAAAAATATTCAAAAAGAAAGAAAAACTTACAATTTGCATTTTAGAAGTAATGTTGCCAGTATTATTCCAATACAAATGACCCCAACACAAGAGGATATAAGAACAAGGAGCCAAGTATCGTCAAAAACAGTTCCTATAAGTTGAAATATTTTTATTTTATTATTTATATTTATTATAATATTCTTTATATCATTTATTTGCAATAATCATAATAATTACACCCGCAGAGAAAAATTTTATTTAAACCAAATATATTTTATTTGAGTTAAATAAACGTATATTTGTTTTTAAAACTAACTACACTTTTTATTTGTTTTAAATAAAAATTTTATTCGACACAAATAAAACATATATTTGAGCCAAATAAAATTTATTATTTATTATACAATAATAAAATTTGTAAAAATAATTGATTCTAAGAAATTCGGAAATCGACATCACTATAAGGCTTCCTTTGAAAGGAAGCAATAATAAATAATTAAATATTAATATTTAATAAAATAAATAGTATTCAAAATAATAGGAATAATAATAATTGAAATACAAATAATGAAAAAATAATAATAATCAAAACAAAAAAATTTTATTTGAAAAAAAATAAAAATAGTCTAGTTGGTTCTGAGTCAAATATATTTTTTTCTCTAGATGTATATCTATTTATAATAATAAAAAATCAAACTATATAATGTTTTATTTTTGTACCTTTTGTAATTTATTTATAGAATAAATTATTTTTAAAATTTTCAATTTTCAGAGATGATAATTTATTTACCTTGTTGTGGAATTTCGATATATTGAACACCCTCGGAGCGCCAATTGCAAAAATGTTTACAAGGACTGTCATTGTGATGAGAACGAAAAATGACAGTTTCCGAATCGGTGAAGAATTCAGAACCCTGTTGCAAAAAACTGGGAATGGGCGGTGGTGGTAGACGAAGTATCATATCCGGTGGTGGGCCAAGTGTGCATAATGCACAATTTGAATTATTTATTATTGCCGCTACTTCCATTCCCGACATCTATTCAATAAAATTTCAAACTATTTTTTTTTTAATGGAAAACGATTAATAAAAAAATAATAATAATAATAATAATTAAAAAAAATAAGTATAAAACTAATAATAATAATAATAATAATAATAATTGCTCCTTCATGTCCATAAAACATTCAACAAAATATTAAATAACAGGATCAGTATAAAATAAAACATGAATAGAATAATAAAAATAAAAATAAAAATGATAATAGTACCTAATAATAGTAATAATAATGAAAAGATTAATAAAAATAGCAATAAAAATAATAAAAAGTAATAATAAAATAAAAATAATATTAAAATAAAAAAATTGGACAAGTGCGAGATAAACTCGTACTAAAACCGAGGGTTCTGTACAAGTACTGAACTTTTTGTTAATTATTTATTTTTTTATTTTATTAATTTAATTAATTTATTATTATTATTAATACTTATTATTATTATTTCTATTAATACTTATTTTTATGAAAATAAATTACAATTTTTTATATAATCTAAATCAAAATACTATTAAAAATAGTAGAAGTAATAATAATTGAAATAAAAACAATGAAAAAACAATAATAATCAAAGTAGTATTAAAAATAGTAGAAGAAGTAATAGAAATAGAAATAATGAAAAAATAATTATAAAAAATAGTAATAATAATAATAGAGAAAATAATATTAAAAATAGTAATAATAATAAAAGTAATAATAGTACTGATAATAATAATAATAGTACTAGTAACAATAATAGTACTAGTAACAATAAAAGTAAAAAAGATAAAATTAAATTTGGATCATACTTATCGTACCACCTATTAAATTTCTTTTCTGTCCTTTATTTTTAATTAAATTTTCAATAAAATAACTTAAAACAATTCACTTATTCACTGAAATGAACGTCACTGTTTTAGAAACTCATAAAAACAAAGAAAATTATTTTATATATTTATACATATATTTTTTTTAAAAATGAAAATTCTTACCATGATTAAAAACTCTTGTCTAAAGTAACCATTGAATGTCGATGAATTTTCAACCGTAGAAAAGCGCAAGCGTCACAATATTGAACGAATGATGGGAAGATGTGCGCGCTCCTCTCTTTTTATATCAAAAAATATTAAAGCGCATGCTTTTGAAATAAATGACTCATAATAATGTATCATTTGAAATTGTCTTTTTTTGAAAATTAATATTAATTTTTTTTTTAATTCAAAGAAAAAAATTTTCTATTTAGCAAAAATTTCTTTATTTTGTAAATAATATTCATATATATATTATTTTTTATTTTTATGAAATAATTTTTATTTGCGGTAAATTTTTTATTTTGCAATATATTTTTTATTTGGTAAATAATATTCATATATAATATTTTTTATTGTGAAAGATGTTTATTGATTTTTTTCAAAAATCAATTAATTATTTTCTATTTTTATGAAATAAATTTTATTTGCAATATATTTTCCATTAAAAAAAAATAGTTTGCAATTAAAAATATATTGCGAATATTTTTTATTCGCAATATATTTTCAATTGCAAACTATTTTTTATTTTCGCAATATATTTTCAATTGGAAACTATTTTTTGTTTTCGCAATATATTTTCAATTGAAAACTATTTTTTATTCGCAATATATTTTTACTTGCAAGAAAATTTTTATTCTTAACATATTTTTAATCGTAATATAATTATTATTTACTGTATTATTTACTGAAAATAGTAAAAATGGTATTTAATACAAATTCTAAATATAAGCAATAAATTCTAAATACACATTTTTGTATACAATAAATAAAAATCTCTTTCTTTATTAATCATAAATAATTAATTGAAAAAAAAATTTTTATTGTTTCATTATTAATATTTGTTTACTTCGTTACATGGGCGACAAAAAAACTCTAAATTTTATTACAAAAAAAATAAATAAATAAAAAATAATAAATTGATTAAAATGGTAGAAAATAAAAAGCACTTTTTTTTAATAATTCACAACAAAAATATAGAAAATATTAATTCTTCCAAAAGTGGAGAAAATTTTTTTTTTTTTTTATTATTGTTTTGTGAAAAAATGTTGAAACAGTGAAATTTATTCTTCGCTCGCTCGTTGAATTTTCTGCATTTAAAATTTGCACGTGGGCAAATAGTGAAATGGATAGACACACATAAAAATGAAAAGTAAATTCATTATTTAAACAATATTCATTGAGAATGTAGAGAGAGAATAATATAACATACGCGAAAGTAAGTCTGCATAATAGTTGAGGAGAATTCAAAACTTTAAAAGAGGAGGACAAGCAGAAAATGGGGGGTCAACAATATATCTGAACATGCATTTCTTCAAATGATCACAGTGTTCCCACGAATCTTGTTTAATTACCTTTGTAATAGATTCTTTATTTTTTTTCACGAAAATTATTATTTTATTGATAAAATACAAAAATAAAAATATGTAAATATAAATGGGAGAAAATAAAATAAATGTGTAAATAAAAAATGTAAATAAATATTAAAATTTATAAATAAATAAATAAAATAAATATGTAAATAAATAAATAAATATGTAAATAAATAAATATATAAATAAATAAATATATAAATAAATAAATAAATATGTAAATAAATAAATATACAAATAAATAAATATATAAATAAATATATAAGTAAATAAATATACAAATAAAAATACAAAGAAAAATATAAATAACTATGCGAATAAACTAATAAAATTAATAAAACCTTTTCAATTATTAGCTTCTATAAAATACAAATTACGAATAAAATGATTTGAAAATAAAAATAATTTGAACAAAAAAATTATAAACTATAAAAATGTCTCAAATTTTTAAATTGTTTTTAACACTTTTTTTCGTCAATTCACAAATAAAATGGACATTACAATCAAATAGTGATAATAGTTTACAAGTGAATAAAAGTGTAGTGAACAATACAATAGAAGAAAATTTACAATTTCTTTCAAATTTGAAAAATTTGAATAATGAAAATAGAAATTTTTCATTAAATTACAACTTCAATTGGGAAAAACTACTCGAAATATGGAATCCAAAAAGTATTATAAAAATTTGGAATTCAAAAGAACGTGAAAATGTCAACATTACAAATAATTGTGATTCGGATATTTCGTTATATTTTACTGGAATAACAATGGAAGAAAATTGGGCATTAAGAAGTAAGTAATAAGTGAGAAATTGAGAAGTGATAAAAATAAAGTAATATTATTTAATAAGTCTGTAATAAAAAAATAAAGTAATAATTCAAAAATGGTAATAAAATAAAATAAAAATTCAATAAAAAACAAAGTAAATAATTAAATAAAAATACTCTAATAAAAAATTGAAAATTATTTGTTTCAAATAAATTTTATTTGGTTTAAATAAAATTTTACTTAAAAAATGAAAAAAAAAAAATTTTATTTAAGAGAAAACAAAAAAATAAATAAAATTTTACTTTTGCATTAAATAAAAGTTTTATTTGCATCGAATAAAATTTTTAATTGAAACAAATAAAAAGTCTGACAACTCTGAAGCAAATATACTTTTATTTAACTCAAATAAATTATATTTAATTTAATTATAATTTTTTCTGGGTGTACCTATAATAAAAAAAAAATAGTTTCGATAATTTTGCATTTAATGTAAATTTACATAATTCGTTGTATATTTTTTATAAACAATAATTAATTTATTATTAAAAAATAAAAATAAAAAATAAAAATTAGTTTCGATAATTTTGCATTTAATGTAAATTTACATAATTCGTTGTATATTTTTTATAAACAACAATTAATTTATTATTAAAAAATAAAATTTTGAAGAATTTATTTATTTTTTTTTTTTAAAGAAACCAGTCATTTAAAATTCAAAACACATGTGCTAAATGACAAGACGTAAAATGCAAACAATGAAAATATGGAAAATCTTGAAAAGAAAAAAGAAATTGCGAAAGATTTTTGACACATCAGAAATAAATATTGACTTCGCAGTTCATAGAAGTCTCGGTATTTTAGAAGTGTTAGAACAAAAATAACTGAAATGACATATATACAAAAAAAAATAGTTACACATTTTTTTCAAATTTTTCACTCATATTTTTGTTACTTAATTTTTCTATACAGATAATATACTTATCCAATATTATTCAATTATTAATTTCGTTATTTAATTTCAATTTTTTTTTATTTTCTAAGATATAGATTAGCGAGTCAATGATAATTCTTCTAAATGAAGTTAGCAAATAAACGAGGATTATTATTCTAATGAACTGAAAGTCATTATGGCATTGAAATATTTCCTGTAGAAAGTGAGAAAGCGATTTCACTGGACATAATATATTAGACGAGATTTATTTTTTGAAAGATAACGTAATTCTAAATTTTTTAATCGGCATTATGACATAATTAATTTATTAATTTACCCAACAAATGATTAGGAAATAAAAGTTGAATTAGTTTCAATTTATTTTATCTTTTTTGCAATTAATAACACTAGAGATATTGTAACTTTGCGCGAGTCTTGAATTTTTTTAAAATAATAATATAATTACTTCATTTTCTGTGTTTAATAATTATCCTGAATTTAATTGCGTATTCGATAATATACAAAAATTTTATAAGGGTAGTTTTTTTTTAACTAAAGGGTGGAGACCAAAAATTGGGTAAAGTGTTTTTAAAGATCCCAAAAATAATTGAGATGAATCCCATAAAAAAGAAGAAAAAATGTTGAATTTTAAATATTAACGATTTTTCGAAAATTTCTTAAGGGTATTTTTTTACTAAAGGGTAAAGACTAAAAATTAAGTAAAGTGTTTTTGAAGAGCCCAAAAATATTTAGGCTAAATCCCATAAAAAAGAAGGAAAAATGTTGAATTTTTAGAATTATTAATTTTTCGAAAAATTCCTAAGGGTAGTTTTTTTTACTAAAGGGTGGGGATGAAAAATTAAGTAAAGGGTTTTTGAAGAGCCTAAAAATAATTAAGAAAAATCCCACAAAAAAAAGAAAAAATGTTAAATTTTTAGAATTATCGATTTTTTGAAAATTTCTTTTTTTATTAAAGAGGGTGAATTATTTAATTTTATTAATTAATTTTTAATTTATTAAAGAAAATTATATTTAATTATATTAATTATGATATATTACAATTAGTTATTAAATTGAAATCGAAATACTTTGTTTTTATTCATTCGAATTAATTGTATTTAAAGAATCACAATCTTTGTTTTTTTCTTTGAAATATTCAAATATTCGATTAATAAATATTGTGATTGTTTAACAATTAATTTAAATGGACAGAAATAAAGTATTTCAATTTCAATTTTATTAAATCAAGTTCCAAAAAATGTGAATAAAATAAATAAATATTTATTGTTCATTTCATTTACAAAAAGTTTCTGAAATTAATTTATAAACGTAAATAAAATTATAGAAAAATGGAAATAAGTAGTAAAGATACGTGTTTTGTCAGACATATGATAAGAAAGCCGGAAAAGCAGTAGAACAAGTTCGCGTTCTGTCAGCCAAATTAAACGAAAATTGAAACAAGTAGAGTAAGCGCCTGTTATGTCAGACAAGAGAATCAAAATTCAGATTTTTAAATTATTTTTTCACTTCTCTTTCCTTTTTTTCTCTGCAATTAAATTTTCTTCTTTAGCAACGATAATATTTTATTTATTGATTTATTCATAAATAAAAATTCAATTCTTGTCTGACAAAATCAGGGTTATTCTATTACTTATTTAATTCCTATTTCGTCCGACGAAACACGTTTACTTTTTTAAAAAATTTTTTTGCTTTCTTTTTACATATTATGTCTGACTAAATAACGACCTGTTCTACTTATTTTTTTCTAATTCTACATTTTATTGTGTAAATAATTTTTATATTATTGTTCTGTTAAAATAAAATTCTCTCTTTATAGTTCTCGATGCCAGTGGACGATATACATCGGGATTATTTTCCGCCAATCGTTATTGGTTGGGAGCACCGGAACAATGTCGTGAAATGGAAAATAATTTTTTAAAATGGAAAAACGAAGGAAATATTTCGAAAAATTCTGAATTTATTCCATTTGGTGTTAGTGTTTATTCAATTGATATCACTATTAATATTTTCAAACCCGAAATAAACCAGGTAATTTAAAATTTTTATATTCTTTTTTACACAATTTTAAGTTATTAATTAATTATGGAAATTATGAATTTATTTAAATTAAAGTAGGTAATATAATTTTAATTTTAATTAATATTTCTTTTAAAAATTGTTCATAATAATAAATTAATAATAAATTATAAGTAATGAAATTTAATGATATTAATAAAAATTAATTTAATTTTAATTTCATTAAATTAATTTAAATTAATTTTTATTAATATTATTAAATTTTATTATTTAGAATTTATTATTAATTTATTATTATGAACAATTTTATTAAAAAAAAATATTAATTACAATTAAAATTATTGAATTAATTTTATTTATTATTAATTGTTTATAGTTTATAATAGAAATCGACTCTCGATATAAAATGGAATCTTAAGGGAGAAAAAAATTAAATTTATATAATAAGGTTTTATTTATCGAATATTTTTAGAATCAAAATTTTTCAAAGAAACACAAAATCAATTCTCAATTTATCCAGAAATTAATTTTGTCGATACTTTAATTATTGAGAGAGGTTACTGTATTAAAAATTAAAAATTAAAAATTAAAAATTAAAAAATAAAAATTAAAAATTAAAAAATAAAAATTAAAAATTAAAAATTAAAAATTAAAAATTAAAAATTAAAAATTAAAAATTAAAAATTAAAAATTAAAAAACAAAAGTTAAAATTAAAATTAAAATTAAAATTAAAAATAATAAAAGTTAAAAATTAAAATTTAAAATTAAAATTATTTTAGATTTGGAATTTTATTTTTATGAGAAAGAATTTGAAATTAAAATCTTAACAGTTTTTTTCTTTTTTTTTTATTAATATATATGTATTGAAAGCAGAATATAACACTGGGCCTGTGCTTACCGATGAGTTGTAGCGTATACGATGTGAAGGAACTTTTAAATTTTTCAATTGAACAAAGGGAAAATAATTCAAGAATAATTATTGTCAATAATATTCGAAAACTCACTGACGGTTACAATATTTGGAATGACGGAATATTTTATCTTCTTGTGTAAGTATTCCCCCCCCCTTCCCCCTCCCCTTACTATAGACTAAACGAATTGCATTTCTGTCTAACAGATTGCCATTATTTCAGGGGCACATTTATTATGGCTTCAATTCTTATTATCATCGGTACGGCGTATGATTTATTTTTAAGGCACAATGCACTTAAAAAGGGGAAAATTGAAAAAACCAGAAGCAATATTGACGAATTCAAAGATAATCGCAAGGAATGTTTTTATAACGAGGAAATTACAATTTCCAAATTGTGGACAATGAATAAACATAATGCTTCACTTGGTAGTATAAATAAATGACTATTCAATTAATTAAGGTTAAATTAAAATAAATTAAAATTAAATTAACAATTATCGAATAAAATATTTATTATCAATCAAATATCAAATAAATAATTATTATCAATCAAATAACAAATAAATAAAATAAATAGTATTTCAAGCGATAATTTTTCAGTCTTTGAAGCAAATACGATTTAATTGATTTCAATATCTAAAAATTATTTAATTCAAATTTAAATATTTATTTGATAATTTATCAAATAATATTTATTTAATATTTATTTATTTATTGTTGAGAAAAATGCAAAATTTTTAATTTTCAAATATCAAATTTAATCCTTGAATTATTTCCGATTAAAAATTTCGAAAAATTAACTTATTCAATAAATTAATAAATTATTAGTTTTTTAAATTAAAATTTTAATAGGAATTCTTTGCAAAAAATTGAACAATTTTTTAAATAATAAAATTAATCGCAAGAATTCAATTATTTTCAAAAAAATACTAAAATTTTTCCCAAAGAATTCAATTATATTTTTTTCTATAAGTAATAAAATTCTTTCGCAGGAATTCAATTATTTTCAACAGAATTTTTAAAAAATTTTTTGAAAAAAATTCAATTATTACATCAAAAATTTTTCATAAATTTTTTTTTGAGAATTTAATTATTTTTAAAAGAATTGAATAAAATTGTTCGCAAGAATTTAATTACTTTTTGCAAATAATAAAATTCTTCAGAAGGAATTCAATTATTTTCAACATTATTTTTACGAAATTCTTCGCAAGAATTCAAGAATTTTTTTTTAATAATAAAATTCATGACAAGAATTCAATTATTTTCAAAAAAAAAATACTAAAATTCTTCGCAAGAAATTCAATTATTTTTTTTTCCTGTTGTAATAAAATTCTTCCGCAGGAATTCAATTTCTTTGTAAAAAATTAATTATTTTCAAAATTTCCAATTAACATTATTAAAAAGTCTACAATTATTTTAAAAAATACAAAGAAATTGTTAAAAAGAATTTAATTATTTTTGAAAACTCTCAATAAAATTCTTGAAAAGAATTCGAATATATTTTCATAAATAAATAATGAAATTCTTCATAGGCATTCAATATTATTTTCTATAAAATTTCAATCAAATTTCTTTGAAGCAAATAAATTTTGTTTCAATGAAAATTAATTTTAATAAATATATAAACAAACAAAAATTTCGATTAGGTATAAATAAACTTTTCAAATTTTAGGGAAATTATATTAATAGCTCTCTAAATTTGAATTAATGACTTTTTGCAAAAGTGAAAAATATTTATTAGTAAATTTTACTAAACAAATAATAATTTCTAAGTTATTAGTAAAATCTACTAATTTTAAGTAAATTTTAAATAAATTTTACTGATAAATAATAATTTCTAATTTATTATAGTAAAATCTACTACATAATTCAAAAGCGAAAAATCAGTTATTGATACAAATTTGTAAACATTTTTATTAAATTAAATTTATAGAGAGTATATCATAATTAAAAAAAAGTAAATAATAATTAAATTTCAAGAAAGTAAATAATAACAATAATACCAATTGTTCTAATTATTTTATTCATTTTTAGATGTATATAATACAGAAAGTAAACCAAAACCTTTATCAGAGGCTTTATTATCGTTTAGCTTACTTTTAAATATTTCAAAACTTTGCAGTTTTAATGTGGGATCAGATACTTTGGCACCAATTCATGGTTTACGATTTATTTCAATGCTGTGGATCATTTTGGTTCACTGCTGTCTGACAACAAATGAAATTTCAGGTAAATTTTTCAAAACACTGTATATATAACTAAAATATAGTAAAAATAGTAAAAAAAAAAAATTTTTTAACTAAAATAGTAAAAATAGTAAAAAAAAATTTTTTTAACTAAAAGAGTAAAAATAGTAAAAAAAAAATTTGTTAATAAAAAAGTAAAAATAAATAAATAAATTCCAACTTCCAATAATTTCCAAACAATTTAATAATAAATTTTCCCATAAAGATAGTTCATTATGGCGCTCGAGAGCGGAAAACAATTTTTTGTATCAAACTATTAGCAATGGATCGTACGCAGTTGATACATTTTTTTTCATCAGGTAAAAAAGAATAAAATATATCCACATTTAAAAGAATATAAATATTTCAATATATTTAAAATATTAAAATATTCCAATATTTAAAAGAATAAAATATTAAAATATTAAAAAATTAAAATATTTCAATATTGAAATATTAAAATATTCCAATATTTAAAAGAATAAAATATTAAAATATTAAAAAATTAAAATATTTCAATTTAATTTCAAAAAAAAAAAAAAAAAAAAATTGACAGAAATCGATTTTTGTTTCAGTGGATGTTTGGTGGCATTTCTTTATTTTCGAACAATTGTGAAAAAGGAAATTCGACAGAAAAGAACCACTCGTGGTTTTTGGGGGAAAATAATGCAATTTTTTGGTATGATGTTTTATAGATATGTGAGATTGACACCACCTTATTTATTAGTAATTGGCTTAATTCAAGTGTCAATGAAATGGCATCATGATCATTCGTTAATTCAACTTCCAACATTGGATTATGAAACGTGCGAGAAATTCTGGTGGAGAAATGCCCTTTATGTGAACACATATTTTAATATGAACGAACGGGTAAATTTTCTCTTCAATTGATTTTTATTTTATTTTTTTCTATATTATTTAATTTATATTTAATTTATATTTAATTTAATTTATATTCTAATTTAAATTTTAATTAATATTTCTCTTCAATCGATTTTTATTTTATATTTTTTTATATTTTAATGAATTAAATTTTTTATAGTTTGAATTTTTATTACTTAATAAAAGGCAATATTTACTATTATATCCTAAAAATAATTTTTACAATATTAATTTTTTTTTTTGTCTATGAATATTGTTTTTTATTTTGTTTAAATTTTTTAAAAATCGAAAAATTGAATTTTGAATTTTTGTTAATGTATTTTATTAATTATATGTTAATTAATTAATCAACTTAATTAACTTTTTTAGTGTATGGTATGGAGTTGGTATTTAGCAAACGACACTCAATTCTACACTGTAGGAATAATTATTTTAATAATTACGGCAAGGTATAAGTTCCTTTTTTCAACCGTATTTCTCGACTAAATTTTTTAAATTAGTGAAAATTCTCTTTAATAAATATAAATTAGTAAAAATTCTTTTTAATTTGAATTGGAAAAAATTCTTATTAATTTAAATTGGTAAAAATTCTTATTAATTTCAATTACTAAAACATCTTATTAATTTGAATTGATTAAAATTCTCATTAATTTGAATTAGTAAACATTCTTATAAATTTGATTTAGTAAAAATTCTAATTAATTTGATTTAGTAAAAATTCTAATTAATTTGATTTAGTAAAAATTCTAATTAATTTGAATTAGTAAAAAGTATTTCTAATTTGAATTAATAAAAATTGTTACCAAATTGTATTAAAAATTATACTGACTGTTTGTTTCTGACTTAGTCAAATTTTATACTACATAAATAAATATACTAAAATAAAATTAGATTATTAATTAAAATTTTCACTAATTCAGATTTATGGAGAATATTTTTTTTTCACATAGAAAAAGAATTTTTAAATTCAAAATTTTCCTTATCCATAAATTTGTTTTCAGTTTTACATCTATTGGCATTGGTATTGGATTATTCTTTATAATTTTATCTTGGATAACAACAGGTCTAATTACTTTTCACATTGAACACACACCAAGGTACTTAACGAAACTTCTTTTTTTTTATTCTGTTTTTTTATTTATTTATTTTTTTTATTCTTCCTTATTATTTTTATTGCTTTTATTATTAATTATAAATATTGAAGAATTTCTCTGAATTTTTTTTTTTAGTAATGGAGTTTTTTTTAATAATTTTAATTCAAAATTTTGATAGTAATTGAATTTGGTGAACAAATTCCTTTCAAGTTTTTAAAATATTCACGTTTCTTAATAATTAAAATTAAATATTTAATTATTGAATTTTATTAAAAATATATTTATATATTTATTTTAAAAAATATATAAAATAAATATATTTATTTTTTTAAAAATATATTTATTTTTTTATTTCTAGAAAATAATTAAATTCTTCTCAGAATTTTATTACCAATTTTCTAAAATAATTTAATTCATTGAAGGAATTTTATTAAAATATAGAAAATAATTGAATTCTTTCAAATTCTTTTCGAAAATTTTATTAAAATTGTTAATAAAAAAATAAACGTTTTAAACAATTTTATTCCGAGTTTTTGTAAATAAAATTTTTAATTCTTTTGAAGAACTTCTTTGTCTGTTTTTTTTTTTAAATATCGCAGTTTAATTTTAATTCAAACTTTTGAAAATAATTGAATTCCTCAGAAGAATTTTATTATATTTATAAAAAGTAATTCAATTTTTACTATTAATTTCACTTCGAAAGGATTTCTTGATAAAAATATATGTTTCAAATTTTGGAAAATAATTGAAATCCTCCCAAGAATTTTTCTATTAATGAAAATAATTGAAATCTTACCAAGGAATTTTATTTTTTTATAAAGATAATTGAATTTATAATTAAAGAATTTTATTTAAAATTTTAAATTTTTGAAAATTATTGAAATCCTCAGAAGAATTTTATTATTTAAGAAAATAATTGAAATCTTCAAAAGAATTTTTCTTTTTATGAAGATAATTGAATTTTTAAGAAGAATTTTATTAAAATTTTTGAAAATAATTGAAATCCTTTGAAAAATGTTGTTATTTAAGAAAATAATTGAAATCATTAAAAGAATTTTTTTTTATGAAGATAATTGAATTTTTAGAAAGAATTTTATTGAAATTTTTGAAAATAATCGAAATCCTTTGAAAAATGTTGTTATTTATGAAAATAATTGAAATCTTGCTAAGATTTTCATTAAAATTTTTGTAAAATAATATAATTGTTTCGAATGAAAATTTTAATTCTTTAGAGGAATTTAATTGAGATTTTATTGAATATAATTGAATTTTTAGAAAGATTATTAAAATTTTTTAAATAAATTGAATTCTTTTGGAAAATTTTATAACCGATTAGGAAAAAAAATTTAATTCTTTCGTGAAATTTTATTGATAATAATTGAATTATCCAATTTTTGCAAAGATTTTACTATTTTAAACAATAATTGAATTATTTCGAAGGAGTTATTAAAATTTTGTTAAAAATAAAAAATTTTGTAATTTTCATAATAATAATAAATTGAAAATGAAAAAAAATATAACAATTAATAATTAATAATTAATAATTAATAATTAATAATTAATAATTAATAATTAATAATTAATAATTACTAATAATAATAGTAATAACTAATAATAAGAATAATATAATAGAAAAATAAATTGAGTTAATAATAAAATAAATATTTGTTGCTTAATTGTAATATTTAATAAATTTATTTTTAAATTTAGCATAGAGAATCCATTTGCTCATTACGAGAGTCTTTATGATAAACCATGGACCAGAATTGGTCCCTATTTAATTGGAATGGCAACTGGGTGGTATTTGTTTAAAGTTAATTGTAAATTAAAACTTAAGAAGGTAAAGTTTATTTATAATATTTAGTTTTAAATAATAATTATTTTTAAATTATATTATTATACATTGAAAAAAATTTATTTGATTCAAATAAAAGATTATTTGACTATTTTCAATTAAATATTTACCTGAAATATTTAATTTCAAAAATTTTGAATCAAAAATCAAAATTTTTTTAAAATTTTTCGAAATTAAAAAAAAAAATATTTGATTCAAGTAAATATTTATATTTGATAATAGACAAATAATCGGTTATTTGAATAATAAAATTTTTTTTCATTGTAGGAAATATAATACTTAATATAGAAAATACAAAAAATAAAAAATTCCTATTTAAATATAAAAGTATAAAATAAAAATATATTTCTTTCGTTCTTTTTTTTTCTTCGCAGTTGATTTTAATCATTGGCTGGACATCGTCACTATTAATTATGATAAGCATTGTTTATGGATTATACGGAAACAATTTCGAACCAATTTCATCATCATTTTATACAGCTCTATCGCATTCTGGTTGGGCTTTAAGTATCGCGTGGATTCTCATTTGTTGTGTAACAGAAAATGGTGGTAAGTTTTGAAAATTATTATTTTACCATTTCATTTTCATTTTTTTTTTCTCTTTTAAACAAATTTTATAATAATTTTTTTAAAGGAAAAAAAAATTTTAAAGAAAAAATTAATTATATAGTTTCTAAATGTAAATATTAATTTTTCATCGGTATCTATTTTTAAGGAAATATTTTCGCTATCAATTTGATTCACTTTGCTATCATTTTGATATAATTTCAAAAAAATTGTGACATCTGGTAATTTATGAAAATAAATTTAAATAAAAATTATTTTTTTTTTGTCTAATTTCAGGAATTGTGAATAAATTACTTTCGTGGAAATATTTTTACCCGATATCGAGACTTACGTATTGTGCCTATTTGGTCCATCCGGCAATTTTACGAGCCATTGTTCTACAAACCGAAACATCCCTACATTTATCTCACGGACTAATGGTAATTTTTTCATTTCAATTTATTTCAAATTTCAAACTGTAAATAAAAAATAAAATAAAAAGGAAAAAAAAATTTATAAATAAAATAATCTGTTTTTCCAAAGATATCAAATTGAGACAAAAAAAATCTCAAAATTGTTGCATGGCAACAATTTTGATATTTTTTTTGTCTCAATTTGATATCTTTGGAAAAACTGTGTAAAGAAATAGAAAAAAAAAATTTGTTAATAAAATAAGAAAAGTAAAAAGAATAAAAATTTTAAAAATAAAATAAGAAAAGTAAAAATAAAAATAAAACTTCGAAAAATAAAATAAGAAAAAAATAACATTTTTGAAAATAAAATAAGAAAAGAATAAAAATTTAAATAATAAAACAATCTATAAAAAGAAATAAGAACATATTAAAATTATATAAGTCGGGTAAATTAATTAATTTCGTGATTCATTATATTACGTGAAAATAAAACGAAAGTATTACATATATGAAAATTTTAATACAATTACGTGTTCTTACGTGAGCCGTTTACTCATCAAGTGCGCAATAATTTTTTTTCTTTTTTTTTTTTTAAATAAATCTTTAGTTATATTACCGATTTGAATGAAATATTTCATTTTTGTTTCTTGTCGCGCCGAAAGATCTCGATAGTTTCAACTGTTCGAGAGAGAAAGAAAAAGAGAAAGTTCTCTCTGATGATAATAACGAACGTGATTTTCCTCTTTAAACAACCACTAGAGTACCACTAACTCTCATTGAAAAATAACACTTAAAATATATTTGAAAAATAATAATTGAATTAGTCAAAAATTTTAATAATTAAATTGATAAAAATTCAAAACAAAAAAAAACTAAATAAATAAAGTATGTTCTAAATTTGAAAAGGAAAAAGAATTGCAAAAAAATTTTTTGATTTATATTATCTAAAAAAAAAGTGAAAGAATAATTATTATGTTTCTAAGCATAGTGTAAACTGTGTAAACTATTATATAATATTTATAAATTATAACTTTCATAAAACAATCTAAGAATGCAGACTTTCTCATAATATAGCTAAAAGTCGTAATTCATATTATATTTTTATCTGTGCAAGAAAATGTTTATAATTTTTTTTTTAAATTAACAGTTTTTTTTCCATTTGGTAATTTTTTCAGGTTTCGCATTCAATAATTATACTTTTAAAAAAGTAGGAAAAAGTATCTTTAAGACTGAAAAAAATAGTAAAAAGTAGCTATCAAAAAAATTTGACGATAAAAAAAATCGTTTCAATCGATTCACAAAAATTTGATTCACTATTTCCCCTGACTTTTGGAAAATAATAAATAATTAATTTTTTATGCTAAATATTTAAACATTATTCGAGTTTTACAAAAATCAAAATTTTCAAAGACAAACAATTTAAAAATCTTTTGAAATTTAATTATTTCCAAAAATTCATATTATAACGCTTCTAATAATCAATTTTTATTTTTTATCTAAAATTATTAATCTTTAATTCAATTCTCCATAGAAAGTTCTAGAAGAATTAAATTATTTAAATACAAAAATAAATAATTGATTAAACAATAGATTATTTCTAAAAATTGAATGTTTATAAAGTATTTTATCAAAATTTAAAAAAATAGTTACATTCTTTGAGGAATTTATTTTAAATTTTCAAAAGAAATTTAATAAAAATTGTTTTTTAAACAATTAAAAATCTGTGAAAATAATATTTTTGAAAATAATTGAAATTTTCGCAAAGAATTTTTAAAAAAAAATTTTTTCAATATGATGGAATTCCTTTGTGAAATTTTATTAAAATAGTACCTAGTTATTGAAAATAATTGAATTTCAGCGAAGAATTTCATTATTTATGAGAAAAATTGAATTTTTGCGAAGAAAAAAATTCTTAAAATTTTGAAAATAATTGAATCGTTTCAAAGAATTTTTAAAAAATTTTCGAGAATAATTTATTTATTTCAATTAATAGCGGACTTGAAGTAGTGTAAATGCAAAAATTTTAACTGAAATTCATTTTTAAATTAATTCTTGTTAAAAAGTTCTAGGAAAATTCAATTATTTAAATACAAAAAAATAATGGATTGAATAATTCATTGTTTTTTAAAATTGAATTCCTATTTAGTATTTTATTAAAAATCTAAAAACATAATTGAAAAAAAATTCTAAGAACAATTGCATGTTTTGAGTGAATTTATTTAAAATTTATAAAAAATTAAATGAAAATTGTATTTTAAATAATCAGAAATCTATGAAAATTTTATTATTTATGAAAATAATTAAAGTTTTTGTAAAGAATTTTATTAAAATTTTTTTTAAATACTGGAATTTTTTTGTTGGCTCAAAAAATAATTTTTCATCTTCTGCTGATTATCGGCTGTGGTTACTTTTGGTAAATTTTAAATTAAATATTTTTTTATGACCTAGATAATTATTGGAATTGTTCTAGCAATAGTTTGTGACTAAAAATTGTTAGTAAACAGCAGATAAAGTTCACTCAAAAAATAATTTTTCATCTTCTGCTGATTATCGGCTGTGGTTACTTTTTTATTTTTTATTTTTCTTATTTTTAATTTTTTAATATTCAATTTTTGAATTTGTAAATTTTAATTCTTTCATTTTTGACTTTTTGACTTTTTTATTTTTTAACTTTAATTCTTTCTTTTTTTTTCTCTGAATTAGTAAAACTGTTTACTAAGTTGAATATGTGATTGACATTTTGTTATTGAATAAATTAGTAGGTAGAAATGACTATTTAATATTTATTAATAATTTTACTAATAAATTTTTACTAATTCAAATTTGGAGAGTATGTAAAATAATAGTTTTCATTACTATTATTTTTGAGTAAAAAATCGTAATTTTTTATGCATAAAAATACAACAAATAGAATGAATTTTTAAAAAAATTTAATTCATTAAATTGAATTAAAAAAAATTTTAAAACTTAAAAAAAATAATTTTTTGCAGGCATTAATATTTTTCGGTGTTTTCATCACATCTTACGTGGCATCATTGTTTCTCAGTCTACTTTTTGAGGCTCCAATGGTGTCCTTGCTGAGGATTGTTCATCCCCTTCGGCAATGGAAACGAGAATAATAAATATGAAAATTTACATCTTCTATTATAATTTATAATAATTATTATTACGTCTATATGGCCATAAAAAAACAAAGAATATGAAGGTCAAACTAGATCGCGACTAACATCCACCAACATCGTATTTTTTTTATTTTTAAATATTTATTGAATAAATTAAACTGAAGGAATAAAATTAATTAATTTAAATGTAAAAATTAATTAGAAATATAAACATCGATTAATGATAAATTTATCATAAAGAATTATTATAATTTATTAAGAATAATTAATAATAAAATAATAGTCATTATTGTTTTGTTAATAATTAATAATGATTGTTATTATTAATAATTAACTCTTACCACTTATCAATAATTATTTCTGACCACTTATCAATAATTAACAATTGTTAGTATCATTAATAATTAATTAATATAAAAACAATTGTTATTTATTTATTTACCTGATTACAAAACACGGTTCAACGAGCAAATATTAAAAATACTAATTCTTATTATTAATAAGCAATAATAATTATTATTAGGTATTATTTCCTGAAAAATAATAATAATTATTACTATTGAGGTTATTTTTATAATTTTTATTATTATTGACGATTTTTAATTTTTATCAGGTTCTTTTACTTTTTTCAGCTTCTTAATTAATTTTTTTTTGTTAGATACACCTAATTATAATTGTAACTTTGGCATAAATTTATTTTTTACAAATAGAGATGTATGGGACCCCTAGATTTGTATATATATTACAGGTATTTACATAAATTAAAAGAAAAATGTGGATGTGTAAATTTTTGTATTTTATACTGAAACTTATTTTTAATATGTAAAATAATTTTTTGTAATATTTGAGTGCAAATAAAAAATGTTTTCAAAAGTATTTTTATTTCTTTGTCTCATTTATATAAATAGCGACAAAAATACACTGGAATTTTATACTTAAAAAATATTTTTATAATTTTGAGATAGGTATATTTTATTTAAAAATTTATAAAATTGTGAGAAAAAATTAGAAATAGTATAGGAAAAACTAGTCAAAAATAGAAATAGTTATAAATAGTTATTAAATAGTTATTAAATAGTTGAGAAAAATAGTTAAAAAATATTTAAATAAAATAGTTAAAAAATAGTTAAATAGTTACTAAATAATAAATCAATTACTAATTTAATAATATAAGAGAAAACTAAATAAAGAAATAAATAAAAAATCAATAATAAATAATAATAATAAATAATAAATTAAATAAAATAAGTAAAGAAATGAATGAAAAAATACAGAAATAAATAAAAAATAAAATAAATAAATAACATAAAATAAATAAAGAAAATAAAATAGACTAATTACCTAATTAATTAAAAACATGAGAAATGTAAATTAATATGAAAATTCTTATATTCAAAATTCGAATTAGTGACTTTGTGCTCTTTTCGATTTAAACGAGAATTAATATTTATTTTGTCCGCAGAAAAAAGATTTTCTCTCTCCACAGAACGAAATCGACGTGTTAATTTTGTATTCAAAATAATTCGCGGTGATTTTTCTTTTCTTTTTTTCTTCCAAAAAACAATTATTCCACAAGTCACGAATAGTGATTATATCAAGGGAATTTCAGCACGACTGAACATTTAAATAATAGACTTTATTTGAAAATCAACAGTAGCTGAATGCTCATTAAATACTAAATTTCCTTTACAAATTTCTAATTTATATTGTCTTCTTTCATTTAAGACTCGTTCAAGCAGATCCCAATTATTTCATAACATAATTAAAAAAAAAGAAAAAAATTCCTATAAATCTCCGCAAGTGTCTTATTCATTTATTTACCTGAAGTAGTTTGGAGTTCAAAGAAAAAAAAATGAGTCATAATGTTCACTTATTTCTTTTTTTTTTATTTTATAATATTTAATCACACGGTAAAATAGTTTTGGTCTACTTTGGGCGTAAAAGTAGTGCAAACGTAAATTAACAGAAAAATTACTTGCGGGAAAAACGCAATGACAAGAAGTGCAAAAATTAATTATGTTATTAAATTAAACAGTGCGAATGATTTCCAGAAAGAGTATAGATTAATTTTATTTCTTGTATTAAGAATTAAATTTTTTTTTAATATGGATCAACAAGTTTCGAAAATAAAAAGTAGAAAGTGGCTTTTACTTTTAAAAATCAATAATTAGTAATAAAATAATAGTAATAAATTAAATAAATAATTAATAAATAATAATTTAATTTTTGTAAGCTCGTACATTGTTGAAAGAAATAAATAATAATTAATAATTAATAAATAATCATTAATAAATAATAATAATAAATAAATTAATCAAAATTAATAATTGATAAATTAATTAATAATCAATTATTTACTTGATAAAATCGAAACTTTTTGTCATTTCTTTCAATTTTTACTACTTCCGGAGTCAAATTTAGTGAAATTTACTACGTATTCGCAGTCAAATTTACATCAGGAAATAGTAAAAATTGTCAAAAGTAAAAAATAGAAAGTGATCTCTACTACTTACTGTAAATAAAACAAAAATTGTTTGAAATTTTTTGAAAATTATTTACTATTTCTGAAGAAACTTTTAGAGAAATTTACTCGATATTCGCTGTAAACTTTACATCCGGAAGTGTTAAAAACTATCAGAAAAAATAGAAAGTAATTTTTACTATTTACAAAAATAGAACCAAAAATTATTTTAATTAATTTTAATTTTTTACTATTTTCGAAGTAAAGTTTACTATTTCCAAAAAATAAATTTTAATTAAATTTACTTCAGATTCGCGGTAAAGTTTACACCGGAAGTGGTAAAAATTAACAAAAATATAGAAAGTACTTTTACTATTTACAAAGTAAAAAAGTAAAATTGAATTTTAATTTTTTACTTTTTTTAGAGTAAAGTTTACTATATTCGGAGTAAATTTTTTTAAAGTTTACTCCTGAATCGCGGTAAATTTTACACTGGAAGTAGTGAAATATAACAAAGAAATATATAGAAAGAAACTTTTACTATTTTACGAAAGAAAACTACAATTGATTTATAATTTTTTACTATTTTCAGGTTTATTACTTCATAGTAAATTTTGATTTTTGGTAAAGTTTACACCGGAAGTGGTAAAAATTAACAAAACTATAAAAAGTACTTTTAATATTTACAAAATAAAAAGTAAAATTTTATTTTAATTTTTTACTTTTTTTAGAGTAAAGTTTACTATGTTCGGAGTAAATTTTTGTAAATTTTGAATTCAATTGTTTACTATTTTATAAGTAAAGTTTACTATTTCCGAAATAAATTTCACTGAAGTAAACTTCTTATTTGAAATAAAATTTACACCAGAAATGGTAATTTTTACTATTTACAAAGTAAAACCTAAACTGTTTTAAATTTATTTTAATTTTTTCTATTTTCGAAGTAAATTTTAATATTTACAAAAAATAAATTTTAATTAAATTTACTTCAAATTCGCGGTAAAGTTTACACCGGAAGTAGTAAAAATTAACAAAAATATAGAAAATACTTTTACTATTTACAAAGTAAAACCAAAAATTTTTTAATTTATTTTAATTTTTAGAGTAAAGTTTACTATGTTCGGAGTAAATTTTTGTAAAGTTTACTTCTAAATCGCTGTAAAATTTACACCGTCATTGATGAAAAATAAAAAAAAATACAGAAAGTAACTTTTACTATTTTACGAAATAAAACTAAAATTGAATTTTAATTTTTTACAATTTTTAGAGTAAAGTTTACTATTTCAGAGTGGATTTTGGTAAAATTAATTCTGATTCGCGATAAAGTTTACACCGGAAGTGGTAAAAATTGACAAAAAATATAAAAAGTATTTTAACTATCAACAAACTAAAAGTAAAAAGAAAGAAAGTGACTTTTACTATTTACAAAATAAAAGTAAAATTTAATTTGTATTAATTAATATTTTATGAGTAAAGTTTACTATTTCCGGAGTAAATTTCAATGCAGTTTACTCTTGAATAGTGGAAAAGTTTACAGTTTACAGAAAGGGGTAAAAATTAACAAATAATACAGAAAGTAACTTTTACTGTTTACAAAGGAAAAGTAAAATTAAATTTCAATTTTTTACTATTATCAGAATAAAGTTTACTATTTCAGAGTAAATTTTGGTAAAATTTACTTCTATTTCGCAGTAAACTTTACATCGGAAGTGGTTAAAATTAACAAAAAATACAGAAAGTAACTTTTACTGTTTACAAAATAAAAGTAAAATTAAATTTCAATTTTTTACTATTATCAGAGTAAAGTTTACTATTTCAGAGTAAATTTTGGTAAAATTTACTTCTATTTCGCAGTAAAGTTTTACAGCAGAAGAGGTTAAAATTGACAAAAAACATAAAAAGTTCTCTTACTATTTACAAAGTAAATGTAAAAAAAGAAAGTAACTTTTACTATTTACAAATGTAAAAAGTAAAATTTAATTTCATGTCACTCATATTTTATGAGTAAATTTTACTATTTCCGGACTAAATTTTATTGAAGTTTACTTCTTATTTCAAATAAAATTTACACCAGAAATTGTAAAAATTCTTAAAAGAGTAGAAAGTAATTTTTATAATTTACTAACTAAAATCTGAACTATTTTGAATTTATGTCAATTTTTACCACCTCTGGTGTAAATTTTGTGAAAATTTACTTCTGAGATAGTAAAACTTCGTTATAAAATTTACACCAGAGGTGATAAAAGTTGACAGAGAAAATAAAAAGTAAGTTTTACTGTTTATTTATTTATTTTTTACTATTTATAAAGTAAATTTCTGAGATAGTAAAAATTCGTTATAAAATTTTAACCAGAGGTGGTAAAAATTGAGAGAGGAAATAAAATGTAAGTTTTACTATTTATTTATTTATTTTTTACTATTTATAAAGTAAAACCAAAAATTTTTGAAAATTTCAATGTTTTACTACATTTTGAGTAAAATCTACTATTTCCGGTATAAATCCCAATAGAAAAATATAGTAAAATTTACTACAGTCGCATATTAAAATATGTTATACAACAAAAATTTAAAAAAAAAATAAAAAATAGTTATTTTATAAATTCCTTTTACTTTCGAAAAGTAAAAATAAAAAAAAAAATGTACCAAATTCGTAAAAATAAAATTAAAACTAAAAGCTACATTCCAGGTGGAAAACAATTTTTTTTTGTCATATCTATTTTTCAAATTCAATTATCATAAATAACGGTACAGGTCATAAAAAATGATTAGTATGTGTAGGATTATTGATGAACTTATTAAAAAAAAAATCTATAATACTGATACGTAGACAAACAACTATTTTACTGTTATCGTATGCGTCAAGAAGAACAAGTGGAATTAATGATCTTAAAATTTTTTTTTTGAAGTTTTCACTAACCGTCCCCCCTCCCCCTCCTCCTACCTCACCCAAAACCCCTTTCCTTCTTCGCCATTCAACGCTCATTCGCTTCGTAGAGTTAAAATCATTTCTCTACCTGCCATCAACTTCGAAGAAACAGTTTGTTCGTAACCATACAAGAAAAAGGATCCACAAAAAAATTCCCCCCTCCCCCCCAAACCAAAAAAAAATTTACCCCATGTAATAATTTTCAAACAAATAATTTTCAAAAAACATTTTGAAAAAATGTTATTCTCACTTTTGAAATTTTACCAAAATTTAAAAAATTGAATACCTAGTGAAAAATTAAAAAAAAATTCTGTTTTTCTTCCCAATTGAAGAAAAATGAGAAAAGTGAATGAAAAGTTATGACATCGATAAAGGAATTATCACATATTTTTAAAATTCATCGTCTCTTAGTGAAATTAAGAAAAAAATTGTTCTGAAAAAGTTTTGGCGTAATTTGAAGGCGCAAAAGTGATGAGAACTGGTTGAAAAAGAAAGTGAAAGTTAGAAATTGAAAGCAGGAAAAAATAATTCACAAAAAGCGGTGTTTATTTTTCGTGTGAAAAAAAATTGAAATATTTCTTTTTTCAACAATTAAATTAATACTAAAAGTGTACAAATTACTTTTCAAAAATTAATTACCAAAAAAAAAATGATTAACAATCTATGAAATTTCCCATTTCTACGTGTTCTTAATTTTGTTTTTTTTTGTCGCAAAAAAAGGAGAAAAAATTTTTAATCAAAAATGGCTTTTAATATTAAAACAATAATTTCGGTCCTAATTATCGTTGAAACGATAATGGGTCACGAATTAAATCACACTGAATCGATGGTGAAAACAATAATTAGTGAAAGTGATGATGTAAAATTAGATGAAATCTCATATCATCGAATAAGAAGTTTACCGGAAATGGAGGAATCATCGATAACAAATTGGACGACAGTTTCGGAAATATTGGATATATTTAATGTGAAGCATCTTGCGAGAAAATGGATCGAGGGACAACATTCAGTTGATGCACAATGCGGCAAGGACATTACAAGATATATTCAAGGTCTAAAGAAGCAGGAATTCTGGGCGATAAAAGGTGAGTTTAGCAAAAAAAAAAAAAAAAAAATTTCAACCTGAAACAATTTATAACGATTGCAAGAAAAAAAAATACTCAAAACACTGTAATTTTTACAGAAAAAAAAATTATTTTTCACCAAGGTTTCTTCCCCTCCCCCCACCCCCACGCCAAAAAAATAGTTCTATAAGCGTTAATTTATTTTTGTTTAAAATCAAAATAATATTTTATTTCAAAAAATAAAAATATTTTATTTATAATTAAAAAATTTTTTTAAAATTAAATTCATTAAAAAAATAAAATTTGAAATTTAATTTAAATTCAAAATAGTATTTATTTTTTAAATTAAAATAATTTTTTATTTAAAATTAAAATACCTATTTAATTTAAAATCAAAACAAATTAAAATATTAAAATTAAAATAATGTAAATTATAATTTTTGAGAACTAAAAATTATTATTCAATTAAAATAAAAAATAGTTCCGTGTCTATTTTCTTGTTTCAAAAAGAATAAAGAAAGTTGATTACTCATAGGTATATCGTTACGTAAAAGTAAACACGAGCGGGTATTTGCAACAATGTAATTTTACTATTTATCATTATGTCATTAAAAATAAAACAAAAATTTCTTTGTCTTTTAAATAATTTTTTATAACTGTTCATAATTTTTCATTTGAATAAAATTATTTGAAATAAAATGCAACTAATAGTCGCGCAGTAATAATTTAAATATTAATTAATAAAATTAAAATTAAAATAAATTAAAATTAAAATTAAAATTAAAATTAAAATTTAAAAAATTATTTTTAAAATTAATATATTTACATAATTTAAATAATTTAAATAACTGAAAATTTCGTTTTAAAAAATTTTCAATAACATAATTAATCATAATTAATCAAATTAATCATCATTGTTAATGAATTAACAATTAATTAACAATTAACAATTAAATTTTAATTAAAATTAAAATTGTATGACATAAGAAAAAAAATTAAGTTAAATGATAATTAATTTTGTTTATCAATTATTAAAAAAATTTATTTTAATCAATTTTAAATTTTTCAATTAATTAACAAAAAAAACAAATAAAATTGCATAATAATCAATTTTCTTTATTAACCAACAAATAACAAAAAAAATATTATTATAACAATTGTATTTATTTTTGTAAATTATTATAAAAATAACATTCAATTTTCTTTATTAAAAAAAATTAAGGGAAATTTTTAATTCAAGAAACAATTATTTTAAACTGAATTTAAAATTATTTTTATTACTGAATCTAAATTATTTCTTTATTAAAAAAATTAAGGAAAATTTTTAATTGAAAAAACAATTATTTTAAACTAAATTTAAAATTATTTTTATTGCTGAATCTAAATTAAAAACTAAAGTTAAATTAAAACTAAAGCTAAATAAAAACTAAAGCTAAATTAAAATGTAAACTAAATTAAAACTAAAGCTAAATTAAAAATTTAAAACTGAAGCTAAATGAAAACTAAAGCTAAATTAAAACTAAATCTAAATAAAAAATAAATGAAAATTATAATTTAACCAAAATTAAAAGTTAATAAAAAATAATACCAATTTAATTAACAGAGTGGAATTAGAGAAAAATTTATCCTTCATCTCTAAATTTATAAGTGAATTCCTCAACTCTCAAAAAGAAAGTTTTACGGTCAAGCATTTTTCCTAAAATCGATTTAAATCTCTATTTTGAAATAAAAATTCTGTGACCCATTTTTTTCATGTTTAAATTTGGTTATTTCCCACTTTCTCCTAACCGCTTTTTTTTACTTTCGTAATAATTTGAAAGATTCACTTTCTTTACCTTTTAGTTAAACAAGCAATTTTTTTTTTCATTACAATTCAGTAAAATTAATTTCGGTATTTTTTCAAGGACCTTAATTACAATTTTTAAACAATTGAATTAAAATGTAAAAAAAATGAAAATAAATAATAAAATAGAATTAAACTGAACTTTAATAAAAATTAGATTTTAATTTATGAGAAACTAAATTTTTTTAATAAAATTAAAATTTTACTCGCCCCTAAATTTGAATTAGTAAAAATGTTTATTAATTTGAATAAGTGACTGAATTTTTTTCTTCTGAATTCGTAAAGTTTACTAATTTAAAATTTAAATATAGAGTATTTACTATTTAGAGAGTAATTTACGAAGAGCAATAATTAATAAAATTGAATTTTTTATTCCTTAAAAAAAAGTGAAATTTCAATATATGAAAAGGAAATCTGAATTTATAAAAAATTAAATTTTAATAATTTATCCTATAATTGAAAAAGCAGTTAAAATTAATTAACGTGAAAAGTAAATAATTAAGTATAGAGATTTTAAAAGCCTTTCCCAATAAAAAGAGGAGAAATAAATTCGAAGCATAAATTAATTTCTATATTTGTTTTCTCAATATTCAATAGGTTTTTTGCGATTTGAAAATTAATTAATCACCTGCCTAATTAGAACGGATTAGTTCTCTAGATTTTGAAAAAAAATTTCCTTTTTTGAGTATTTAAACTTTTTTTAATAAAAAATAAAATTTTTTTTTGGTAAAATATTGAAAAATATTTGTCAAAAAAGAAAAGTATTCTTTTCACGACATCCACGTTGTGAAATTTTTTTTAACTCTTCCTCTACCTCAGTTAAATTATTATACCAATAGAAAGTTTTACGAGTATCGTAATAAGAACAAAGAACCAGAAGAATGATGAACTTTAATTTTCTCGATATAGTCAATGTACAATTGCTGTTTTTTAAACCACTTTTTTTTCGTATGATAAACTTTTACATTTTTCAAATATTTGACCTTAATTTACCAAAAAAAAATTTTTTTTTTATTTATAAGATAAAATATAATGGAATTTTATTTACTTATTTATTTACAAGGTAAAATATTAAAAGAAAAGAAAATTTTATTTATTTACAAGGTAAAATATTAAAAGAAAAGAAAATTTTATTTAGTTATTTATTAATAAAATAAAATACAAAATAATACAAAAACATAAAATTTTATTTGTTTATTTACAAGATAAGAGGAAAAAAATAAATTAAATATTTTGTAATAATATTTTATAAATATTTGACCCTAACTAAAAAATTGTACACAGAAGTTAACAAAAAAAAAGAAAAAAATTAAATGAATAAATAAAAAAAATAATATGAGTGTGCAATAAATAATTAGAAAGGTTCATAAATTATTTACGCCGAAAGAGAATTATTTTTTTTTTAATATAAATTACCAAGCGAATTATATTTTTATGAGAGTAAATTTTGTTTACAAACTATACAAACCCTATAAAATACAAGACAGTTCAATTACTTAGTAATAAAATATTGCGGAAAAGAATACTTTATATTTACCTCCGACTTTAACCATATCATTATACTATAAAAAACCAAATTCCACAAAATTTTTCCGTTTTTTAATGATTCCATATTAATTACAATCTAATAGCTTCATACAATTTTTTATAAAACTTTTTACTATTATACAACAAACTTAAAAAAAAAAATTGCTACCAAAATTAAATTAAATTAAATTAAAATAAACTGAAAGTGAATTCTTTTTTTAAAAATCGTTTTGCTAATTAGTTATTAATAATAATCAATAATAATAAATTGTAAACAAAGAAACAGTTGCTTGGCAACAGGATAAAAACTTTTTTTCTCCTCCACTGTTAAGAAACAACTTTTTTCGTATCAATTATTTTTTTTTTGTCTGTTTGTATCAATTATTTGAATGCCATTGCATGAATAATTAATGAAAAATCAATGAGTCTCTTAAGAAATGAAATAAATTAGAACATAATGTTGTCAATTCGTAAAAACTGCATGTAACATATTTTTTTAGAAGTGATAAAAATAAGATTTATTCTAAAATATGTAAATGCGGAAATAAATTTCTTTCCTATTTTATCGTAATAACAATTTATAAGCATAAATTATATCAAATTATAAAGGAAATTTATTTTAGAAGTTTAAAGATCCTTAGTAACTAAATTATTATAATTCTTATTTTTTGACAAATATTTTGTACTAATTATTTTATAAGAAATCGATATTAACAAAAAGCAAATTATAATTATTATTATAATAATAAATAATAAAAAATATTTTAGTAAGCAGTTTAAACAATGCTAAATTATTATTATTAGTACCTATTAATTATTTGTTATAATTATTTATTTATTATTATCATTATTTTATTAAATATTAATTATAATTTTATTATTTTGCAAAAATAATTTGTAATAATTATTCAGTGAAAAAACGGTATTAATAAAAAAATAAAAAAAATAAATTTTTCAATTATTAAAATTAAATAAAAAATTATTATTATTATTTTTGTTGCTAGAAAAAATTCCATATTAAAAGTGGTTTGCCTACTATAAATTAAAAAAAGGATTGCGAAAAAAATGTAATTCTTAATATTTATATACTTTCATCCTCTGGAGAATTTCACTTTCATTGCAACGACACAATATTATTGTCCATAAGAGATGTGATGCGTGCTAATAAAAAAAACTAAATGGCAATGAAATGAAAAATATTTCTTGTGTAATGTAATCAATAAAATAAAATAAAAATCACATAAAGACAGTTTATGATTTTATAATAGGGATCTTTGACATGAATATAAAAACATTTCCTCGGTCATTGTCATTTTTTCACATACTCGCAAGCGTCGACAAATGAAAATTATTCGAAACCGAAATTAAAAATTAAAATTAATTGTTCATTTTATTTAATTCAAAAGACAAATTATTTGGAAATTGAAAATTCACTCAAAAAAAAATATATATATTTCACTCAGAGACTTTTTATTTGTTTCAAATTAATTATATTTGCTTCAAATAAATTTTATTTTGTTCAAATTTAATTCTATTTGGTTAATAATTAAATTTTATTTGCTTCACATTTTTATTTGGTTCAAATAAATTTAATTTAGTTCAAATAAAAATTTACTTGGTTCACATTTTTATTTGGTTCAAATAAATTTAA